TAACAGACATTTACATATAAAAAGGACATCTCTTGTTTTTTTAAAACTGTCAAATCATATGAGTGATGAAACAGGCATCCAAATATAATGAACAAAATTGTATGAGAAGTTAGTTGGCGGATGGTGACTAGCAGTGGAATCCAGGACAATGCGCATTTCGTCCTATGTGGGACTCGTCATCAGCTGGATGTACCTGCATTCCCACGAGAGCCACCTCTTGTACAACGGGTCATATTAATTATTAAATTGAATTCTTAGATTTTCCCATCGATCGATTGGACTGAAGTGCTCCATCTCAGGTTGACATGTTGGCTTCTTGTACAGATGCTTCGACGATGTCTTGGCATGTAATTAGAAGTTAATTTGTGGATGGTTACCAGGAGTGGAATCCAGGATGCGCGTTGTATGAGCTGTAATCACAATTTGACCTCAGACTTTAAAAAATATTAGTCTACTTTTGCTAAAGACTTTAAACAGAGTGTACTTTTTAATCATATTTGTAGTGATTACATTCGACTAAAGTTCATTATCGGAGGTAACTGAGTATGAAAGAATATATATGTGTATATGTGATATTCAATGGTGTGTGTGGGGGGTATGGAGGGAAAACAATTGTAAATCATTTCTTAGCCTCTCCATAAGAAGATATAGACAATCGGGGATTTAGATCAAGTATGATTAATCAGTGGTACATATTCCATCTTTATTTATTAATCAGGACTTGCCATGCATCAGCAAACATCCCACCTTCACGTCAGTTCAAACAGTTGGGATTCACCCATAATTGCATGGGTTCTGCAATCAGTCTTTCTTTACTCAAAACAAACCTTTCTATAGAACCTTAGTCCCATCAAAATCGATTTCGTGTCTTTTTTCTATCGAGTGCAGTGCAATCGCTGCTCTGTTTTCTAGCTTCTTCAAGTCTACAGATGTTTATAGAACCACCTTTAGGTGTTGTTTACTCTCTTTCGGTCTTATATTTACTCGTACGGAAGTTCCTCCAGGACATACAGCGTCACAATCCCCACAATTGATCTGTTACACACAATTCTATTGGTTGCCTTCTTCTATCGTATCCTTGACCTTCACCAGTGATGAGCGTAAGGTGTTAGTTGCACGAAAGTACACTCGTATATTTTGATTGTTAAGGATTCGCTTTATCTCACCTGATGTTTCTTTGCAGTAAGGAATCACCACTGTACTAACCCAATTCTTAGCAACAGATTCACTCCTTTGCGTGGCTAAACCAGTAATAAGACTGGTAAAGAGGGAGGATTGGACATGAGGCTAGCAACCCCATCCCGTAAAAACAAACACCACTGCATGTAGTTTGAAGCCTTATGTTCCACTGGTACCGTAAAGGAATAAAAAAGAGTCTACTGCTTACTAGGCGCTCAATTATTTTGGAACTGATGAAGTATAATTATATTTCAATAGTTTACACACAATGATAAGTTTTGTTATTTGTAATATTTCGAGCAAAATTACTGCCCTTGTTCACACCACTGTTGGAATTGTTTTGTTCACACATTTATGATCTGAACTCATATATATAGTTCATTATTTTTGCTCATTCATGTTTTTGTATTCAAAATTATATCCCAGGTTGCTGACAGTTGTACTGAGTCACCCTTGTTACATGTATCCGGTGTGAGCTTAATGAATATAGATTCTGTTATAAGTCTTTCTTCCCATTTGTTCATATTAGCTTTTAGAACACAAACATTGCTCCAATCGATATTGTGGTTTTTATCCCATGCATATGCAGCTATAGATGAATTTTTTCTAACTTCTTGTAAGCTTGTGTTCCTGTTGGTTGACCTTTAGTTAGGAGTTTATCTTCACTCACTCTTATTTTGAGTGATCTGGACGTTTGACCCACATATTTAGTCGGACAGTCAGCACAAGATATTTTGTAAATCACATTGTTTTTGTCCATCCTTTTTATGGGATCTTTCAGTTGATTTATTTTATTTTCGATTAAATTTGTCGGTTTAAACGCTGTGCGAATATCAATATTCTTCAGGTTGATTCGAATTGCCTCTGATGTACCATTTTTGTGTGGCAATGTGACTGTTTATTTTGCATTCTTCCATCTTGTCATTCTCCGCTTTTACCCTCTTTTTTCCCTTTTTATATTATCTTTGATAAATCCTTTTGGGTAGTTGTTGTCGAGTAGCATTCTGAATAGGACGTTTATTTCTCTACCCTGGTCCTCTGGTGTTGTTTTAAGTCTACGTATTCTATCTACAAGACCTTGTTTTAATCCTTGTTTTACCGTGAGTAGATGAGCTGAGTGATAAGCAAGGAATCTTCCAGAGTGTGTGGTTTTCTATATAGCGTCGTTTTTATGCTACCATCTGTTACTCTTTTTATTTTGCAGTCTAACATAGGCAGTTCCCTAATTTCATTCTCTATTTCTATAGTGAATTTTATTGAGTAGACATGCCTGTTTATGTGCGAGAAGAGTTTCTCAACATCGTTTTTTTCACTATTACTAGCGTGTCGTCTACATATTTCCACTAACACTTTATTGATGACCTGAATGGTTTAAGTACATTCTCTTCCTGAAAGTCCATGAATATGTCAGCTATTAGTGGTGAGATAGGCGATCCCATAGCTACTGCTTCATTTTGTTGGTATATTTCCCCTTCAAATGTGAAATATGTTGTTGTCAGACAGAATTCCACCCCTTTTATTATCTCTTCTACGGATAATTGTGTTCTGTGTTGTAGGTGATTACCTTCTTTTAGTCTCACTTTCAGTGCATTTATGGCTATTTGAAAAATAACTGGTCAGAAAGGCGTATTTGCAGCACTGAAGGAACTCATGTCCCTTCTGATATTCGGACCCATATCACGCAGCGCTGCAGTCTGAGACGTTACCACTAAACCATTGCACCCAACAAAGGACTAGATACATTACACTAGTTGCGGACTAGTGTCCAATAAAAAAACACGGAGAAGTGGTAAGATGCGAGATCTTGTTCTTTTGGCTTCCGCAGACTGTTGGACAACTGAAGAACACCATTCTATAAAAAATCAATTCTCCGGAAAAAAACTCTTCGCTGAACTACTTTTCTAGTTTTTATTATTATTCGGATGGGAATGTTTCATGAACATTAGGATTTCCCTCTTCAAAGTCTCAAAGTTAGGTTAATAGCAGATTTTTTGTCTCACTATTAAACTTATTGGTTAAATGATAACATACTCTAGATGAGATCTCAGGTATTCCAAGCTTCAACAAAGTAGTCATTGACTGGCGAGTGATTTTAAATTTTTCCCCAAGTGACACCAATTTCTACTGACTGGTTTAAATGAGTAGTTGAATAATACTCACATCAACTGGCAGTAGTGCTCCCTGACCAGCCGGATCGAATTGGTCTGTACATTGGACAATTATTTCCCTCATTTGGAACCGAGCCTGGTTCTATTCAATTCCAATCATCCGAATTATGCCTAGCTACTTAAGCGAACTTGTAACATACTGAATCAAATGGCGAAGCTCCCTCCGAATGACTAGAATTCGTCTATGAAGTCTGCCTTATAAATTGGATACTGAGATAACTAGAATCGATCCATTCAGAAGAATTCCTTACAATACCCAGTATTTATGTATAATTAATAGATCAGTAAAGAAACTTTGCACAAGAGTTCATCAATTCAAATTGCCAGAAAACAATGTGTTACACGCGAAGCAGTGTGCTACTGGTAATCTAGAAACGTACAAGATATATATTTTTACACAATGTAAACAAAAGCCGAGTCAGATTAGTAAGATTAAAAAAACTATAAAGAATAAAAGGACATAAAATATGTACAAGACAGAGGAGGGTCACATCGCAAGGCAGTGATGTAACATTAGTTTATAGATCCGACACCAGATCAGGCTCTCGAAACCCTAATAAGTCTTCTGTTATCTAGAGTATCCGGCACCTAATGTGTCATTGTTATCCCCTTCGGTTTTACGAATGGAACTTAGGGCTTCAACAGAGGCACGCCTCAACTTCACTCTCTTCTCTACAGTTCTCTTCATCTGGGCCCATGGATTGCTAATAGTCCCTCATCTCCTCCTCACCCTTAGATACCCAACTCACCGTTTCCCATTTGGGTTCCACACGAGGGCCAGCCATGTGAGCAACTTCATTCAGCAATCTCCTCAGTGTGTGTCTTATCCATCTTTAATTTCTTCTACATATTTGTTGAGTAATAGCTTCTTGACTGATACGTTTCCACAGTTTCTTGTTAACAATCCCTTTTGGCCATTAGATCTTCATTATGGAGCCAGTGAAGGTAACCGTTCATAAAAGTTTTCATCTGTTTGTTCAAAATGCTTTACTTACGCCTAGTGCAAGTTCCTGACCTATTTAGGAGAACCACATGACTTAACATTGGTATTGAGAATAGGAATTTTATTCTTTATACTGAGTGTAGCAGATTTCCGAACGAATTTCAGAGCGATGAATGTGTCTTCCTTGCCTCTCTATTCTTGTTTTGACAACTTTATCCGTGTCGCCCTCCTTTGGCTGCCTAGATATGTGAAAGAGGTGACTTCTTCCAAATTTCTCCTCTTCGTAGTGATTGGTGCCTGTTGTTATTGTTGTTGGTTGTCAGTTATCTTCATCCCCTCTATCTTCTCTGTATTCTCACTTGGAATCCTGTCTTCTCTGCTCTTTCTGATAACTTGTATGTCTTGGAGTTTGTATGGCACTCGAAATAAATAGTCCACAAAGTCCAAATCTACCAGAGTCTTCTTATCAATTCAACGTATTCCTGTGTTCTGGCTCCCCACTTTCAGTTTGTCGAATGATCCAGTCCACCACAACTAGGAAAATCATCGGCGACAGCTGGCAGTATTTTCCTACTCCTGCCTTTCCAAACACCAAATTCAGCGCGAACTTTAATATATGAGATAAATCTCTTCTTTATTATTTCAAAGCAGGATATCCACACATCAGAATACATAAAAGTCATTTCATAAAAAGTTTTATTTTTAATTACCTCAGCAGAAAAATTTTTACAACGTGCTGTCATACGTCTAGCCGCCAATTCAGAATTTGTATTCCACACAACTATTTCACCATCATAGGACCCAGTAATCAAACCATTTGGCGGCAGTGCTGTCCCACTGAGTACATCGTCTGAATGTTCCTTATTTTTGATAATAGAAAAATATTAAGTTTTAAAAGTTATTCTTAATTAAATATTATGATTAACACAAGTCATTAGGATATGTGATAATATTTTTCAATAGTAAATAAACCTAGTAGTATCTTACTTAATACCCCTGACGTCATTTTGGAAATATGTGAAAATTGAGAAACCTTAGAGTAAAGTTTCAGCTTAGTTTCAAAAATGTTCCCGGAAAAAGTTCTACAGAGAGTCGAAAGTAGAAGAATTAGCTTATGTAATGCATCAATATTCAATCACTGTATCAGACTCAAATGGTTTGTCGTGTCGTATTGTCTTCCATTATGTGTCATGTGTAAATGGCAGTTGCCACACTAGACTTGAACTGGATTCTTCCAAAAAAGAAATAAAGATGATTAACCACTTTTGAAGGAATTTATCAATAATACAGAATGACAGTGGGATTTTCCAAATTAATAGTTGATTTAGCCAGTCTCCATTCTTTTGTTCATCCATTTATTCTGGTCTCATGGCTTCCTCATAAGATTTAAATAAACTTCGCGTTAGTTTTTGCATATCTTAATTGATAAACAGCTTCGTGTATTCTTTCTATATGTAACTTCAAAAGTGGTTTCAATCCCTGGAAGCATAAGGTTATAGGTGTGTACTTCTGGAGACTCCCAGACAAGGACGAAACAGGTGTTCAGTACTTCCAGCTTGTTTTCAGTGGCTCTTCTCTCCAATTGAAGCCAGTTCGTCATCAGACTTGAGATGAATTAAATTAAAACTAACATTTGGAGACAGAAATATTAGATTGACGGTAAGATTATCTATAATCGTTTCCGGTTGGTAGACAGATCTATTGATTTAATGGGATAGAGTCAAAGAAAAACGCCATCTGAATTATTAGTCCAAAGAAGCACTTCTCGTTAAGAGGGGTTGAATAAAGCTGTTACAGTCACGTAATGAGACAAATAACGTAATGAATGAGTTGTAATCAGCACACACATAGAAACAATGAGGGAAAATGTGATATTACGCAATGAGTTCGAAGGAAACAGAACAGTGATAAAGGGTTTTAGAAAAAAAAACACAAACAAATCAATAGAAAAAACACTGGAGTCGCTAGCATAGTATGTAGGAGTGGTTGAATAATTCCCTTTTTTGTATGCAGAGCTCCAGTTTCTTTATCTGAATGACTAGAGCTTCAGAGATACTCAGAGGAGATGAAAGCTTATTCGCCTTGACAGGTTACTCTACACATTGTACATTATTTTGAAGGAGGAATTTGTTGAGATAGAATGACTAATGTTGACAAGGTATTCTATTTCTGATTGGTTGGAGGATTTAATCATGAGCTGACATCAGTTAGAGAACCATTGGAAAACCACCCGGGAGTACTGGACAGCCGTTTCGTCCTGGTTTGGGACTCTTTGGCAGAACGCATCCACCTTCAGAGTTCAAATCCAGGACTTTCTGGTTACAAGGCGAGCTAGCTTGTAGAACATTAAGCCACTGGAACCCGATTCTATTTCTCTTGAAGTTTTACCTAATATCACATTTTCCCTCCTCGTTTCTATGTGAATCCTGATTACAACTCACTCATTATATTATTCATCTTATTACGTAACTCCAATAGCCTTACTGAACTCCTCTTACGTACTGGTTAACGATAAATTTTTTCTTCACCTTCAAATTTATTTTAATAACTCTTCCTTCGTTAGTTAACAATAACTTTATCAAAGTTAAATGACATAATGTAATGCCCACTGTGAGATTGTACAACCAAACCATTCATCAGCTTTGTTCACAATATGTAGATGGCCTCGGATATTGTATAAATGTTTACTCAATCTTAGATAATGGGCTTTATTATTGATTTTTCCACCTAATTTGAGCGCAAGCAATGTTATATTAAATAAATGTAAAAGGCTGCCGTAATATTAATAGCAGTCGCGTCATTATTCACATTTCTTAAGGTATAATTCACATCCAATCACATAGATTACTCTTATTGGAACCGATTTCTAAGGATTTTTCTTCCCTAGATTTGACTAGGTCAATATACACACATCAATCAGTAACATTGGCAGTAGGAAATTCTTTATTACTTCGTTTCACATCAAATGTGATGTGAATAATAATAATAATAATAATAGTTTGCTTTATTCCGAAACAGCGCCAATGATCCAGTGTGGAATTTCCAGCATTTGGTACAACATTGCATCTAATTTTATCGAATAACATTAAAGATGGTTATAAAGATAATATTACAGGATTGTTAGTGGGAGTTCTTATTTGGTATTTGTAGTGACAGTGAAGTCATATGTCCACAAGAAAAATTGCAAATAATAGTAGTAATAATGTTAGTAGCTGAAAGTGTCGTTTAACTGAGATGGTGTCGCGGTAGATTACAAACAAGAGATAATAAAAGAGCCAGTTATTTTGCTAACAACGTGGTAATTCATAGGTTTCGCACTTAATACTGTCTCTGTCGCATAGAACATGGGCCAAATATGGTATCGTTGAGTTCCTATACTTGGTAGTACGAGCATATAATCTTTTGTACTGACTTCTTGTTCTGTCAAGATGAGATACACGGAGGGAAGAGTTTAGAATAGAGGGGCTGGCTGTCGAGGGTCAGACAATATAGATTTAGACAATTTCTCGCATGGGCTTAGATGTCTGTCAACTAGTGCAGTAACAAGCTGACTAAGTTGCACATCACTTGCCGTACTGACAACCCTCAGTACCCTTCTCAAAATGACACAGTGCTTTTTGAGCAGACCAGGAAAGACGAAGGGGGAGCAGTAAAGTACAATAGGTAGAAACACGAGCAGAGCTTGAGTGATTTCAGATTCTCTTAGGTTCTTAATGTAGTAGCTTAGACGGAGCATTTTCCTGGAGATCGATAAAATATGGGATGACCAAGTAAGGTCAGAGGATAGAACTATACCAAGGTATTTTGTGTTAGACTTAGTTTCTATTACAGTCTCCTCTATGCTACAAGCATCATGTGTACTAACCAATTCGTATAGATCACTTTTATGTCTGACATTTGGAGAGATTTAACGTAAGACCATTTAGCTTAGACCACTGACTGATGTCCGACAAAAGCTATTAAGTTTGCTACAGTCTGATTGGAAGCATGACGATTAAATCATCAGCGTATTTGACGAAATTGACTTCGTGAGAAGAAAGGAAAAAGAAATGGAGAGAGAAGAGCACTTTGAGGAACACCAGCTTCAGTAAGCAAGGCAGAAGAAAATTCACCCTTATAAACAGTTACTGTATTCTATTTGAGAAATAAGACTGCAACCAGTTAACAGCCCGGTACTCGGTTGGCGTAAGGGAAAGCTTATTTAACAAAAGGCATTTATATACATATAATGAGGTATATTCAGAGCATCCGGTAACAAATCTGTGATATATCCTTCTTGCAAAACAAACTAATATGGATTAAGGGTTAACTAACCATTTGGTAAATGAAAAGAAACCCCTCAAACAGCCTCTGCCAGAAAGATAAAATTAATTTTACAAGGAAAATAAGGCTGTAATCATTGAGGTCCACTAAGTTTCGACTATGAGGACAAACACCCGCCGATTACAGAACCTGGAATTCATGAACCATAGGATAACATCCATGAGGCTGCAGGGTCAATGGGTTCGGCTTGTAACCTGGTCCTTGTTGGGGTTACGAGTAAGTACTGATGAGGAGTCCTTAACTACAATGACACAGATGTCCAGTACTCTCTGGTTTTCCCACAGTCCTCTAACTGGTCGGATTTGGAATCAGTCAGATCAATACAGACCAACACTTGTAAAATATAGATAAAAAACCACTAGTTCAGTAAGCAGAATTATTGTATTTATCATGTTGATTCCTTTAAAGATAACAGAAATCTGTCGAATTCTTTTGTTTTTGAGAATGGATTATTGAGTGAATGAGGATTATGTCGCGAAATCAAAATGTTGTGTCATCACCAAAACAACATTTCTTGGTGTGATTGTGTTCTCTGACCTCAATCGTTAAACTGCAAAGTTTTCGTAGGCGCGTTTTAGACAGTATCCTCAGTTCTGTTCCTTCACAGTGAAGTCAATTCACAGGACATAACAACACTGGAAACATCTACCTCAGCTATTTATATATCTTTTCTATTAGTTTAAAACAACAAGCACTTCATTGTTGCGTATGCTACTTATGGGATTTATCAGTAGTATGTAAATAGACGTTCATTGGCATACAAATATCAAATAGCAGGGAGATAGATTTGATGTCGGAGAAAGCAAACGATACAGCGTTGCGGAGATATTCGGGAAACGTAAAAGGAACACAAAGAAACACACATAATATGAAAGCCAGAAATAGCACAACACAAGAGATATTTGCAAATGCTGATTTGAGGCTAAGGTATACATAATTTCATAATATGGAGATACCGATTTCCAAGTAAACATTCCTTTACTAAGTCCCTCGTCTTCTACTGTTACACATGATAAACAGGTCTAGAACTGAAGGATGAACGTATACAAACACCAAAAATGGAGGTATAATCTGAAGTAGTATTCTTTTTGTTTATTAAATAATTTCTTGAACCGACCACCACCTACAACCCGTCCAGAAATACCAACAACTGCACGTACACAACTGCAAGTTGACACCAATCCTCCAACGAAGGCTGAAGTCGTGAATGCAATCAAGCTTCTGAAAGCTGGAAAAGCAGCTGGACCAGATGGAATACCCCCTGAAGCTCTGAAAGCGGACCCGGAGACGACAGCAGATATGCTGACTCCATTATTGCAAAGAGTCTGGAAGGGGGGAAAGGTGCCTACTGACTGGAGGAAAGGTTACCTGGTGAAACTACCAAAGAAGGGCGACCTGGGACTCTGCAAGAACTGGCGAGGAATCATGCTCCTGTCGACGCCAAGTAAAATCCTGAGTCGCATCATCCTGGAGAGAATCAAGGACGCACTGAATACAGAACTCCGACCAGAACAAGCTGGATTCAGGAAAGGCAAATCATGTTCTGACCAAATTGCAACTCTACGCATCATCATCGAACAAAGCATGGAACGGCGATCAAGCCTCTACCTCAACTTTATAGATTTTGAGAAGGCCTTCGACAGCGTTGACCGCGAAGTAATTTGGAAACTACTCGAGTACTACGGCGTACCCCAAATATTCATCAACCTTATTCAACAGCTGTACGACAACGGCACATGTCAAATGATCCACAATGGAAAACTCAGCGAGGCGTTTGGAGTAAACACAGGAGTCAGACAAGGGTGCTTATTATCACCAATGATATTCCTAATTGTGGTGGACTGGATTATGCTTCAGACAGTGGGAAACGAGAAGACAGGGATATCCTTGAACGACGTGAAGGACCTAGAAGACCTGGATTTCGCGGATGACTTATGTTTGCTGTCACAGAAGATCGAAGACTTACAAGCGAAAACCGACAAACTGGTCGAAGAAGCAGCTGGGGAAGATAGGACTCCAGGTGAACATAGACAAGACGGAGGTTATGAAAATAACCAACCAACAACAACAATAGCAACAGCAACATCCAGCGCCAATCACCATCAACGGGAGGGATTTGAAAGAGGTTACTTCATTCACTTCACTTGTCTAGGGAGCATTGTCTCTACTACAGGAGGAACGGACAAAGATGTCAAATCGAGAATCGGGAAGGCGAGAAACACATTCATCAATCTGAAACCAATCTAGAAATCTTCGTCACTCCTCAGCATCAACAACAAAGTTCGGATCTTCAATACAAACGTCAAGTCAGTCAGTGCTTCTATACGGATCAGAAACTTGGCGGCGGGTCACAAACAATATTTCTAACAGCCTGTTACAGACCTTTATCAACAGCTGTCTTCGTACTATACTGAAGATCAGATGGCCGGCCGGAAAGAATCACCAACAGGAAACTATGGGAACAAACAAAACAAGAACCAATCGCTCAACAAATATGCAGGAGAAAGTGGAGATGGATTGGACACTCGCTGAGGAGGCCTCTGGGTGACATCGCGCGTCAGGCCAGTGCTCGAGTGGAACCCGAAAGGGAAACGGCGAGTGGGACGTCAGTGCAAGAGTGACATGGAGGAGATCGTGTGAAGAGGAGCTGAAACAGTATGGACTAACATGGATGCAAGTGAAAAGTACAGCAGAAGACAGAAGCAAGTGGAGGCGTGCAGTTGAAGCCCTATGTTCCACTAGGAACCCAAGGGAACAATAATAATAATACTAAGTAAACTCCGTCTACTATGTTGGTGACAGTCAGATTAATTTGAAAGAAGACGAAGGTCCAACAGCAATCTCATAAAACCACGGTGAAAATGTCAATTGTTTAATTCAGCGCAATATTGAAATGCATTGGTTGCCTGCCTAATATCCTTATGAAAATTGAAACTTACGTGATATTGTAAAATCAAATTTAAATATTTTATGTGATCATTTCTCATTCTGTCTAAACCATAGTATCCTAAGAAAAGGAAATAAAGCCTCAATAATATCATTCATTTGCGGTGTAAGTATACAACAAATTCACCGAGTTCAAAAACCACAAGTCAGTGAATAATTCCAAACCACTAGCTAAATAGTGAAGGTGCGTAATATTGCATAACCATAACATCAATGATATGTACCACACAAAAAGGTTTCAAAATTAGGACAAAAGATAGCTGTACAATGTTGACCGGTTTTCAGCAGTGACAGTGAAACTAATCAAAATGCCTACAAACTCAAAATTTTTTGAAAAAGAAATATTGTGAACGACAAATCACAGATATTATATTCAAATGTAAGTTTGCAGGGATTTGCTTGTCTTCAAACTTGGTCTTGAGCTGACATCAATTAGAGAATCACTAGAAAACTGTTTCGTTTTAGCTTAGGAGTCCTCATCAGTGCGCCCGACTGATCCCACCGCTGTAATATCGATACCCAGGACCTTCAGGTGACAAAGTGAGGTCGTTGACCATTCCGACAGTGAGACAAAAAAATGTCCAGTAATATCTGGTTTTCAACGGTTCTTCAACTGATATCCATCCATAAACAAACTTAGTAGATATCTTTTGTTTTACTAAGCTAACATTAGAAAATACACCAATACTTCAAATTGTTCTTATATTTAAGCAAATGATTATAGTAATGAACTTACTGGACCACCTTTCCATTCAGATGGATAAACATAATGATCCCGGAAATTAGTTGTACGAAATACAGTGAAATGTGTTGAATTCCCCATTACAATAATTGCTCGTTTAAGGATAACAATTTGCCCAACTTCAGCATGCGACCCACCATAACATATTAATGTATGATAACAATAACCATTCATATCCCAAATCTAAATAAAAATTTTATTGAAACAATGAAAGAGGTCTTATGGATATTAATTAATTTGAATAACATTTTATAGAAAGTTTGTTACAAAATTTTACTGACTCTCAGGCGTTTTGGAATATGTTTGGAGAAGCAGATAGAGAATCAACTTTCAGTCCTTCGATTATCTTTCCTCTAACACGTAATATGTGAATTTTAAAAACTTTTTTGATTAAAGCTTGATTCCACACCGTATTATTGGTACAGCTATGGAATTTTCAGCGTGTGATATAGGTAGCCGAAATTTTGCAGGCCGACCAATTGATATCTGGTGTGCGTCGGCTGAGGATTGAACCCCGGACCGTGTGCATGGTCGGTGAGAGTCTTAACCGCTGTGCCACCGACGCACAGTTGGAAATGATTTCAGAAGAGTAACTGTCCACTTTCACTTGATTAAGTGCATAACTAGTGATGTAAACAGAAACAAGTTTACCTGCCGGATAAGTTATAGCAAGGGGAGTAATACGGTGGAATACATCAATTCATCTAAACGTAAGTGAAATAAATATGAAAATCTTCTCAACTGTAAAAACGTTCTTTAATTACTGTAGTTTTTTGCTGAAATGTTTCATGAGTTTCTTTGGAAACCCGTTTTCAGACAATCGCTTTCAAGGAAGTCCAACTTTTCATGCAATTTTTATCTTTGGAGCAAAGTTTACGCAAGCTGTCAAACAGTCTTCTGGAAAATCCTTGTTTGTAAATTATTGAGAACAATATGCAGCAAAGAGACTCTTTTCAACGAATTTATTATCAAGCTGTACAATCGTAGATATCTGGTTTTTAAGAAACTATATCCCTCTGAGGAAATTGAAGCATTGGTGGGAATACATAAAGGAATAATAGTTTGAAATGCAATAAAAATATTTGTGATTATAATCATAGTTAAGTGTGAAGTGGCAAAACAATTAATGTCATACATAGAATCGTTCATAGAATGTATAAATGTTAAAAAAGGGGTGTATAATTATAGGATTTACAGGCAAAATAAATACGTCCCAAAACATGATAAGATAGAATTAAACATTTTTTACTTAGAATAACAAACGCGAACAGTCCAAAGTGGGAATAATAATAATAATAGTAACAATAATTTGAATAAAGAAAAAACAAACATAGTTTTGAAGGATAATACAAGCTCGTTTTATTTTATGGAAAGAAAGGATTTCTCCTTCCACCTAGACCGAACGAAACTTGGAATTATTGAAATAAAACCAATCTTCATTTGTCTACTGTACAAAGGCGAAGAAGCATCCATAAGAAAGAAAAATAGAATTAAAGATGTATTGAAAAGAACATTTCCCACCGCCAGACTCATTCCACGTTTTTACAACACAGTACACTCGTTAACCCAGTCAAAAGTGGATAAGTATCCTGCTCATTTCAACTCAAACTGCATTTACCAATTCATCTACACTTGCGGCAGGAAGCACATAGGAAGGACTGAGAGGAGAGTGTCTACTAGAGTCTTTGAGAATATCCCCAAATTCCCGTTTGAAAAGCATCAAATTATTCTCAGTTGGACTTACCAGATATCTAACTGACACGGGACATACAATGGAAATTAGTCAGGTTTTCAAAATAATCAGTATGCAAAGGAAAGCATAGTTAATGCGATCGATCAAGTAATCTGGACTAGAGCTTCACACACCATTCCTTTCCTCCTGGTAAAATCATGCTGAGATATGTTCTTATTTACATATGGAAAGCATTTTCTGCCTACAGTTAATGTACCTTGCTCCACAAGAGCACGTGAACCGACAGATGCAAGTGGAGACAACCAACCGAGGGAGTTTGTCTTTTACAGAGACGAAAAGATAATAGCTCATGGTTGATGAAGGTCATTTGTACACTTGCGACGAAGAACGCTTTACTGAGTGATTCAGAGAGATGATTTCTGAGCATATTTGAAACCTGATCCCCTTTGTATTCCAAATTCAGGAATTTGATTTTCTTTAGCACTGAGTCAATGAATGACAAGTTTGGATTTCTCGTCATTCGTGTTTTTGTCAATAAATAAATAATTTTTTATTGGACAGAAAGTAGAATTGTTTAAATACTGTCCGATCCAGGTATCCTTCTAGTATATTTATCTATCTTGACTGTGTCACCATGTCATCTCACAGATAAATTCAGCTTACCTTTAAAGGAGATGATGTATCACACCGAATCAAAAAAGATTGAGAGTTTTCCTTGTTATGATTTATCAGGCAAGTAAACTTGTTTCTGTTCAATCGAAAGTGAGCAGGTACCCATCTGAATGCACTTACCTCCAACTATGTCTACAAATCCACAAGTATATGCCAAAGGAAGTACACTGGAAGTACAGGAAGGTAGGTATCTATTAGCTTCCAAAACATATTCCAAAAATCCTGAGAATCAAAAATTCCCAGTCCCTTACCCTAGCGCCATTGGTCTACATCTAAATGAATCAAGAAACAGAGTAGATATTCAAACTACATTTTTTAATATTCAAAAGGACAATTAGTGAATGAAGAATATTCTTTTCAATAACTTGTTCTTCTTCATCAAGTTCTACAGTTACATTAGTCTATAATAATCAAACAGTTATCGTTATTGACAACAATAACGTTGCTTTTTTTAGATAACACCTAATCGCTGACATCAGTGGTTCCGCATGAGAAGATCACCTGGTCGGATATCTTCACTTTTTCCCCAAAGTCGGATGATAACATCGCTGTCTTTCTTGTCGTTCGAGTGAAACAACTTACTGCCACTACACTTTTATTCGCCGACACTTCAACTTCGCCATCAAACCCTCAAAACAGTGTAAAAGATTTACACTGCTCAATATACCTTTCTGGCCTAGTGGAACACCTGCAGCAACATTCATTTCAGCCAACGGAGACATACAGAAGCCCAACTGTCACATTAAGGTGACAGCTATTACCCGGATAACACTGATAACAGTCATACTTTTATATATATATATATTTCACTTTAAAACTTTTTTTCTTTCATCACTATACCTTAATTGTACCATCAGTGCTTCCAGTATAGAATTTAGTCTCTGTTGGATCTTGTACTAAACACGTCAGTTCACTTTCACCATGACTACGAGAGATACTTTTAACTCGTTGACCTGTTTCAATTAACCAAAATGATATTGTACCACTCTGAGCAGCAGATACAATCTAGAAGATTCAAAAATAAAGAAAAACAATAAAATGAAAATCAAAATGAAGCAAACAACACAGTCTTCAATATGAGAGTTAGTCTTAATCTTTTTTTATTTCAATTATTTTAATAATTTAGTTATTAATGTTTTTTTATTCCTTTGATGATGCCACTACTAGAGAAGGTGTGGAAAGAAGGCAAAGTACCCGAGAATTGGAAGAAAGGATACTTATTCAAACTGCCAAAGAAAGGAGACCTAAGTCAATACAAGGACTGGCGCGGAATTATGCTCCTGTCCATCCCAAGCAAAATACTAAGCTGCATCATCCTGGAGAGAATCAAACAAGCCCCGGATAAAAACATTCGATCGAAACAGGCTGGATTCGGGAGAAACGAGTCATGTACTGATCAAATCGCTACACTACGGATCATCATTGAACAAAGCTTGGAATGGCAGTCACCTATCTATCTCAACTTCGACTTTGAAAAGGCCTTCGACAGCGTCGATCGAGAGGTGCTTTGGCAACTACTTCACTACTACGGGGTGCCACCGACAATTATGCATCTCATCCAACAGTTGGACGACAATGCTGCATGCCGAGCAATCCATAACGGGAAACTTACGGAATCCTTCGAAGTGAGGACGGGAGTAAGACAAGCTGGCTGCCTACTATCGCCAATGATTTTCCTGATTGTAGTAGATTGGATAATGCGACAGACAGCGGGCAAAGAGAAAACAGGCGTAAAATGGACTCACACAAAAAACTTGGAAGATGTGGACTTCGCCGATGATATATGTCTGATTTCCCACAAACTGGAAGAGATGCAAGTGAAAAGCAACAAGTTGGCAGAAGAAGCATCAAAAATCGTACTCCAAGTACACATAGAGAAAACAGAAGTGATGAAGATTTCTAGGCAGCACCGACAGAAACAACAACAGACAACGATCAGCATAAATGGAAGGAACCTGGAAGAAATAACCTCCTTTACCTACCTATCTGGGAAGGAGGAGGAGGACGGAACTGATGAAGATATCAAAGTGAAGATCGGGAAAGCAAGACAAGCTTTCATTACTCTCAAGTCTGTGTGGAGATCAACAGCACTCAGCATGAAAAATAAGATCCAGATTTTCAACTCCAATGCGAAGTCAGTGCTACTATATGGATCAGAGACTTGGTGTGTCATAAAGAGCACATCAAACACCCTACAGACCTTCATTAACAGTCATCTTCGTTCAATACTCAAGATCAGATGGCCAGCCAGAAAAGATCAGCAACACAGATCTCTGGGAGCAAACCAGCAGAGCAGGAACCGATTGTGAAACAAATAGGCAGGAAGAAGTGGAGGTGGATTGGCCATACTCTGAGAAAACCATCAAGTGACATCACTAGACAAGCCCTCCAGTGGAACCCGAAAGGGAAGCGGAGAGCTAGTCGTCAGTGTGAGGTCATTTGAAGAGGAGATGAAAGCGTGTGGGCAGACTTGAAGCCAGGTGAAAATTCTAGCAGAAAACAGAACGCAATGGAGACTTGGAGCTGAGGCCCTATGTTCCTCTAGGAATTAAAGGAAATAATAATTCCTTTACGTTCCCAGAGTGGAACATACGAATTCAAGCTAGAGACTTGAAGTTTCGGTAGCAGAGGTGTTTATTTTTACGGGATGGGGTTGCCAGCCCCTTCATGCTCAACCTTTCCTTTTAATCAGTGTTATTACTGGTTTAGAGAGGTAAAGGAGTTCGTCGGGAGGGGATCGAACCCTGGACCACATTAGGAATGGTTAGCGAGCATTCTAACGCTGTGCCACCGAAGCACAGTTATTAATGTAGAATAAGAAACACGAGTTATTCATTTCAAAGGTGTTGCTCACTGTGGATAAATCAAGAGTGTAAGAAGAAAATTCTTTTACAATATATACAGAAATAAGTTCCGTATCGACTCGTCTAACCAACGAATTTTCTCCCAATTCACCCCTTGTTTCAAACGAGCACTAGTCAAGACTCTGTACTATAGAGCTAGGAGAATATACTCTACAGAGAAATTAGAGGAAAAATTTATAATTCTCGAAAAGTTGTTGAAAAACAACGGTTACCTTCAGAGATTCATTAACAAGTATGGGAGATGTGAAGGCTTGAACATCAAACAAATCACAGTGGGGAAAAATCCTGTCTTCATTCGCTCGACTTAAAGACGAAAATATTGCAGCAATAGTCAACAAGAGATTGAGTACGTCATCAGCCAGAGACTGTTCTGAAGCTAAGTTAGTTCCCATCTATCGGACAACATGGTCTTTGGTGCAGTGAAAAGTCGACAGATACCCTTCTCATGTTAACTCTAACAGTGTATACAAATTTACGTGAATCTGTGGAGGCAGTTATATTTTAAGAACAAAAAGAAGGACATACCGCGTATTTTCTGAACATGTACCAAAAGCTGTTTACATCTTAAGGGAACAAACGCTTATAATAGTGTCATTACCAGTCATCTCCTTGAAACAAGTCCTGAGGTGGATCTCACGAAATCCTCTAAAATTATTAATAGACAACAAAGCACAGTTTTCCTCAATTTTGCCATCAACTTTATCCATCAAACGCATAAAACGCAATTTATGTGCTCAGACAGAAGCAGTTATCAGACATTCCTTGTCCGCTCTAGTAACTGGATGCCTTTTTTCTCTGTTTCATTTGGTTATGTAATATTTGGCTTAAACCTCTCCTCCTTCTAATATAGTGCAATTTCGCTTGTCTCTTGTTTCTATGATTTGAATTAGACTCAGGTATTGTTACCTAGTTTATTAGTCACTCAGCATCTCACGCATGTGCATATTCACTTTATTTGAACTTGAACCGCCTATGTAAAATCTATATAAGCGTAATTTTCTGAGAACTATTTATAAATCATGGAAAATTCCCATTGTAACATATAGAAAATCAAAACAAGTGATTCAGCGAAGAGACTCTTTTCAACGAATTTATCATCAAGCTGTACAATCGTATATATATGGTTTTTTAAAAAAGGTTATATCCGGTGAGGGAATTGAAACATAGGTGTGAATGCAGAGATGTACATTGAATGTACAGTTTACTTTCAATGAAGCAATCTACAGACAGAAGGATGGTATTGCAATGGGTTCTCCCTTGGGTCCTCTCCTTGCAGACTGTTTTATGTCCAGTCTAGAAAATGATCAGCTGAAGCCTATAATCCAAAGTTTTCAAATGTATAAAAGGTATGTAGATGACACCTTTATTATTTGTAATAGTGATTGTAACTTAATATATTAGATGTATTTAATGGTTGCCATCCGGCAATAAAATTCACACTCGAAATGGAGAACGACTCTAGCATGCATTTCCTCGATGTGAACTTATCAAGAAGGACCGATGGAACCCCGAAAAGATCGATTAATCGCAAGCTGTCATGGAATGGTCAACTGACAAATTTCTACAGCTGGGTACCCATTGGTCGAAAACGAAACCTGATCCGGTCGCTTGCCACTCGTATTCGGCGCATATGTAGCCCTGATACTGTGGAAGATGAGTTATACATCTTGAGGAAAATCCTAATAGAAAATGGATTTCCACCACGTTTTATAGATAAGAATATTCATTCAAATCCTAAAAAACGTGATTTATCAACCGTACCCAAGAAGATACTTTACATGAGCTTGGAATTCAAAGGGGACTTATCTTCCGATATCATGAAACGGAGGATATCACAGTCCCTGAAAAGAACATTCCCTGCTGCATCTCTGAGAATAGCCTTTTCTAGTCGACCATTATTGTTCAATAACCTGAAGGACAAGTTCCCGCTGTTGACCAACTCTATGTGTGTTTATCAATTCACCTGCTCTTGTGGAGCTAGGTATATCGGTCGTTCGACACGAGTTTTGTCCAAGAGGGTGCAAGAACACTATCCTGCATGGTTACGAAAAGGTGGTAGTGGAGCAATAAGAAGGGCGATCATTGAACATCTGGTCGATAATGATCACCCTGTCTCTATAGCCTCCGCTTTCGAAGTCATCTACAAGGCAAAGAGTAATTTACCCAAATCCCTACGTACCCGACTCATCTGTATTGCTGAAGCTTTGGCTATCGAAACAGAAAAGCCAGATCTCTGTGTACAGAAAAAGTTCGTTCAACCCCTCCAACTTTCATGGTCTTAATCCCTCTATGCTAAAGTATGGTAATCCCCAATCATACTTTAGCTCTACCAACTCTCCATTTTTTCATTTTTTCATTTTTGTCTATTCAATTTGTATACTCTTCCTTATTAAGTCAATTGTTACTATTACTACTCTCACTTTTAATTGTCCTCGGTATTATTTCACTTGTTCCACTTGTCATTCTAAATCAGTTCCTTTATGCAACATTAAATTCTATGCTATTAAATTTCACACAATGTTACGTAACATTCTTATTTCATTCGATTTGTCTACTAATCTTATAATTGCACACCTTTTTCAAGTTCTATCCATCCTATGAATTATTCTATATATGACATTAATTTGCTTTGCCACTTGACATTTAACTACGATTATAATCACAAACATTTTAGTTTTAATTGCACTTCATACTATTATTATTATTTCATGCATTCACAACTATTTATAAAGCTGGAGGGCTCCGATCGAATGACATTACGTAACATCTGCAGGTATGCTAAAACTGGCCTATACATAAACTTAATAGTTTCTCTAGGCTGTACACAGCTGATGAGAAGCCAACGAGATAAATGATGGTACTACCTTATTTTGCTTAAACCGTTACTCTTGCTTTATTAAAATGTCACAGTATAGAATAAATCAAAGTGTACAATAGAATTAATGTATTCTGATCAAAAAACGGTTATGAATACCAATCAGTGAACGGATTTCTCCACGTCATCCAAATAAATGAGAGTTTGGTCACTCCACACCTAAAGATACTGATTTAAACCTCACTTAGTGTAAAGGTGAAACTATGTGTAGATAAATGACAGCGACTTATTTGTATTGCAATAATTTTAATTTAGAGAGAAAAAATATAAAGTTCAGTAAAGACATCCAGTTTGCAGAACGAAATCTAAAAACCAACAATCATCATGATTTTGATTTAAATTGTTTCTTTACGAACCGAGTAATTTTCATCCTTGTGTTAAATTCATACTAAAGGAAGGAAATGTGACAAAGATCCCACTTACAGATGTTAAATTGACAAGAAAAGATGATAGGGAGCCTGAAAAGATATAAGAATAAAACTTGTGCACTGTAGAAGAGTATAATTCCATTATGGGTCAAATTTGTTTTGATAAAGTCTCACCGTGTTATACAGTAATGTTAAGGCGAATTAGTTAAGTGTCTAACAAATCGAGCAGTAGCACTAAGCAGTACAACAAAAAACCTAAATGATGGAATAAAACAGATAGAAGAAGCGTTGGTGTTAAATAACTCACTATCCTATAAAATTCATTCGGAAAATCAATAAAGGCCAAAAGCGAAATAAAAATAATGGTGAAACTAGTAATGATAACATAAATAAAAGTGAATATAAGACATCTACTATTATACCATAAAAGTAGGGGACATCTGATACCCCAGTAGGATTCTTAATAAAGCAGGAATTAGAGTGTTGGCATTTAAACGTACAAACTCACTCACTCAGGGACAAGCTCTGTAGTTTAAAGGACCCTATCGATTGACCCAATTAGACTAAATAATATAACTTACAAAATGCCTTGCAATGACTGTGAGGTCAATTACATAGGTCAGACTAGTAGATTGGGGTAATCGGATTGTCGGAATATAAGAATTTAGCTAAGATAAGAATGGTTGACCCCGAGAAGATAAGTAATTTAGAAGAAAGCTCAGCGATCGCACTGCATGCATTAACACACAACTACACAATAGGGTGGGTGGGAGAGGGTTAAAATTCTAAGGAGTAATAGATGTATGTGAAGATAGAGAGAGATTGATTACTGAATCCTTGTTCATCAAGTCTACACCCAACTCTTGCCATATAAATGATTCATCACTCATGCCGGAAATATAGAAAATACTGTAACAACAGAAGACAAGGGTCAGGCAACAGAACGTTTATTACGGAAAATCAACACATATTTATAGATTTTGATGTACATTATTGTAGGTTAATGTTAGTAGAAAATACAGTCTGTTGATTGGTTGTTTCTCACACAAAGTTAACCTTGCATCTCTTTTGGCTGTGTCAGTTCATCTATATGTTAACTGTATCCGCCTGTCCATCGTGACCTTGTTTTCACATGACTAACACTGACCTCAATTACTGTCAAACAATTTGGCTAGCAACCATCTCTCACCACAATACTATTAACAATCAAATCAAGCGATGAAAAATAATAGAACTTCTCATATTAACGAATTTAGAAAGTTGTATGAGTACCTTGATATGATTATGCGTAGGAATAAATTGTGCTCGAAACGTGGTCATCAGTAAATATTAATGTATAACACCACTGTGAGACTTTATTGAAACAAATTTTCCCCATAATGGGGCCTGAAAAGATTTATCTACAAGGAATCATTATAGAATGGTCAGCTAATAAATTGTTTCAATATTTGGATACCTATTAATTGTCATCATTTCTCTTTCTCATCGTATAATAAGAATTTGCAGTATTGACTGCTTAGAAGAAGAGCTGTTTATTCTCAAAAGGATTCTACACTTTGTGGAAAAGAATATTGACTCCAAGCAGAAAAAAAAACAATACAGCTCAGTGTCAAAGAAAATACTATGCATGGATCTGAATTTCAGAAGGAAATTAGCAGAAGATAATAAAAGGAGGTAATCTCTAGATCTCTTTAGAAGACCGTTCCTGTATTAAAGCTGAAAGTGATATTCTGTAGCTGCCTACTGCTTCTAAGCAATTCGAAAGACAAACTCCCTCATATGACCATCGCAGTTTGCCATTTCACATGCTTCTATGCAGCGGGTAGGTACATACGTCGCTCTATGCGCATCCTTTCAAAACGTACCACCCAGTATGTTTGCGGAGAGGCGATATCGAATAAAGACAATGTGTTTCCAGCTTCTTTGTACTACCGAGGCTCTAGGCATATTCATGTAGGATCCAAAGGTATGTTAAAAAGAAACTAGTCCAACCCTTCTAGTTTGTTTCCTCAGTTGCTTTTCATTTTCTTCATATTCTTTTCATCTTTAGTTACAGAAACTATTTTTTAAAATTAGCTGGCCAGAAAAGAAAACCAACGTGAAACTCTACTGGTGAACTAGTCAAGTACCCTTTTATCATTCAACAGATGTACAGAAGGGAATGAGGGTGAATTGAATACACACTAAAGAGATAGTTAAGTGACGTCACAGCCTAAATGAGGAGCAATGAGTTAGGTGAAATAGACACGATCATGTGTGCTATTGTTTATCCAAAGGTTCTCAGGTTATATCCTTCAATAATACTAAGGGGTTTTATCAATATCAGACATCATTTTCATAAACCGTAGTTTTCTATCATGAGGATGCTAAATATGATATGTGAATTAGATCTCTAAGTAAAAAGATACAATAAAGTAATTAGGAGTAGGTCTTTTTTTTCCCTTACGCTGCCACAAGGAATATAAGGCTTCGAGCTAGAGCCATGACGTTTTGGTAGCAGTAGTGTTTACTTTTACGGGATGGGATTGCTAGCCTCATCCCCAAACTTCCCTCTCTATCAGTTTTATTACGGGCTTAGCGAGGTGAAGGAGCGCGTCGGCAGGGGATTGGACCCTGAACCTTCTGTGGCGTGTTTGGCGAGCATTCTACCTTTGTGCCACCGATGCAAAAATATGAGTAGGTATACACAGAAAATGAAAGATATTCAATCGACTTACTTGATTAAATGCTGAATTATAGATGATACCAATCAATGGCTTTTCATGACTTAGAATACGATCGTGTACTTTGATACGCATTTCCATAACTGTTAAAGTATGATTAAAACTAAGAAACAGGCGTAATCTATCCTCATGGAAATACATATGCGTTGTAACTATTAAGCAAAATATTTAAAAATATATATATATATATGGAATTACAGGAGGAAACAATAAAAAGAGAAATCTTTATACTGAGCAGTTTAAACTGTACTTCTATTAAAGAAACAAAAATAATTGTAAAGTTATATGAACACAAATGCACGATGATATATACTGCTGAGTTCAATGACTAATTTGAAAACGCTTAAGTCTACCAATAAAGCTTGGTAATCAGACCGAAGTGATCTCAACATCCCACTACCGTTTTGCTCTTCTAGGGCCAAGTTTAATTCAGCTCAGACAACCGATTTATTTCAAACTACCTGATTTATGACTAGCAACATAAGCGAACTGACAATACGTGGAATCAGTTTACCAATTTCCAAGTTACACAGGTCATGGCAAAAATTAAACGCTGCCTCCTATAGAAATCGAAAACATTCACATCAAAACAACCAACCAGCTTGATTTCATATTTGGAAATACAAAGACAAAGCATAATCACGTTTCTAAAGGAAACTGCGATGAATTTTTCACCAAGAGCTCTGTGCAATTTTCAAGTGGAAAACTTCATTGGAACACACTTATTACTCCCAATATAAGGAAGACGAGACTGATTACAATGGATGAAACTGACTGAAAATCTACAACCTCACCTAAATTCTGTAATATTTCGCAAATGAACACTAAGCCTTCGAAAGAATCCTCTCCTCTAAGAATTTGAGATACGATCATCAGAGAGTGTAATTATTATGAAATGTTTAATGGTGACAGGAACTAACATAATTGATGCTCATGACAAGGTCACTAATTCAAGATGATATGACTTGAGTTGACCATTTCAGTAGAAATGTAACCTTTAAATATCCTTGGCTTTAAAGGAAACATTCTTCCTCCTTGTCTTCTTGATTACTTTGCAATCTGAGTGGAACACAGATGAGCTACATAAAAACTTTGAAGTGTCAGTATCAGTGATGTTATTGCTTTACTGAGCAGGATTGCTAGTTCTACGCTCAAGCTTCCCACATTCTGGGGTTTTTTTTAAAGGTTGGATGAGGTTTAAGAGTATGTCGGTCTGAAATCGAACCATCACCTCCCGCAAACTTGGTAAGCCGTCTACCAGAGAACCATTTATAGTCAGGATTCACATTACATCAGTGAAGGAAGTGATTAAAACCCCACCAATTAAACAGGCAATACTATAAAATCAGTCGTCTTTTAACTAGCATTTTTGAAATAAGATATAAGAATACAACTTGTGCACTGTGGCGGTAGAGTATAATTCTATTATGGGAAAAATTTATTTTGATAAAGTCTCACAGTGGTGTTATACAGTAATATTTACTGATGACTACGTTTCGAGCACAATTTATTACTGCGCATAATCAGATCAAGGTACTCACTCATACAACTTTCCAACTTCGTTTATATGAGGAGTTCTATTATTTTTCATCGCTTGATTTGATTGATAGTAGTATTCTCCATATTTCCGGTATGAGTGATGAGACATTCTTATTGTGCGTGTTGGATGTGGATTCTATGAACGAAAATTTGGCAATCAAGATCTCTTTCCACCTACCTAAATTACTTCTTAGAATTATAATCCTCTCCCATCCTATTGTGTGGTTTTGTGTTAATGCATGCAGGGCAGTCGCTGAGCTTTCTTCTAAATTACTTATCTTCTCGGGGTTAACCATCCTTACCTTGGCTAAATTCTTATGTTCCGTCAATCTGACTATCCACGAGCTACTAGTTTGACCAATATAGTTGACCTCACTCTTAGTCATTGCAGGATATTTTGTAAGTTATATTATTCAGTCTCATTGGGTCAACCGACAGGATCCTTTAACCTGAAGAGCTTGTCCCTGAGTGAGTGAGTTTTTAGGTTTGAATGCCACTCTAATTCCTGCTTTATTGAGAATCCTACGTAGGACCTCAGATGTCCCCTCCTTATATGGTATAACAGTAGATGCCTTATATTCTCTCTTATTTATGTTTTCATTATTAGTTTCACCATTATTTTAATTTTGCTTTTGACCTTTTCTGATCTTCCTAATGAATTTTATAAGATAGTTATTTAACACCAACGCTTCTTCTATCTGTTTCACTTCATCATTTAGGTCTTTTATTGTACTTGACAAGATTATGAGCAAAAAATTGTGCTTTAAATGTCATCAGTCAGTATTACTGCATAACACTATGAGACTTTATCAAAATAAATTCTACTCATAATGGAAGTAGCATTTTTGAAGTTTTCTTGACTCAACCATGTTCTGATGTTTAATGAGTTATTTTCGTCTAAGTTGATTACTATAGTCAGTAAAATTATTCAATGTTTAGTCATGGTATTATGAATTCATTAGTTATCCCATCTTATTAGGTTTTATTAAATTATAGTTTGCTGACATACGATTCGGTGTTAGAAAAGAGTTTATAACTAGCCAAGCCCGAAACTTTCAGGTTATGTGACCAAGCTGGATGATCATTCAACCCCTTAGGCTGGAATTTAATGATCCGTAAAATTCTAACTTCTGTCAATTCATGATATGTAGCACTGTCCTAACCGCTGCCTTCGATGAGCATCATATATCTGGCTGCCTGCTTACAACTTGGGCTACCAAATATATTCCATCCGTCTTTCTTGCATATATTTTCTCTCGTTCGGTTCGTTTTAATCTATTTAGATATGACCTCTATCGATATTATCTACTGTTGTGTGTGTTTAAAAGCCCCTGATTCGCAAGTTCCTACTAAACTTCAGTAATTGTGGGTGGCAACGTGTTCCAATACATGAGACAACTGTTCTTCAGTTATGTCTTTGGGTCTTAAAATCTACTTCTGAACATTTTACAATTGGCTTTCATAGCTAGATATCGTGGATTTCTTGAAGGAGACAAAGTAGATATATATCATAATGGTTTATGCCTGTCACTCAATATTTTACCTGAAGATATTGTACGAAGTGAAAAAATCATGCGATGAACTCCCTGAAAATTATGTACATTATATAAATACTATCCAGAATAATGATGTCATTATTATTTTCAAAAGTTTGGCTTGTAAGGATTAGATTTGTTTATACGAGTTTGACCGAGAATTGATATCAGTTAGAGAACTATTGAAAACCAGCCACAGGGAGTACTGGATAACTGTTTTATCGTAGTTTGGGAATCATCAGCAGTACGCACCCCCTGGGGTCAGAACGCAGGACCTTCCGGTTACAAGGCAAGCTAGCTCGTATACCATTCAGCCACTGGGACCCGACCCGATTAAATAGCCGCTGAATTCTAACTTCCATTCATTCGTGATTTAGCGCGACCACCATCCAATATCATTGGTGGGAACTCCATCCTCACACTTGACTGGATGAACCTCACTGGTCACAACTTCTCACTAGAACTCCTGGAAACTCTGTCCTGTAGCGAGTCACTAGGGAGCATCAGATTAATTTTTCCATAGTTTGGTTTGTAAGGATTAGATTTGTTTACGCGAGTTCGACCACGGATTGATATCGGGTCCTAGTGGCTGAATGGTATACGAGTTTGCCAGGCAACCAGAAGGTCCTGGGCTCTAACTCCAGCGTGTGAGTACTGCCATTATTATTATTATTATTGAAAAAGGACAACAATGGTCATGATTTCCAACTACAGCCATCAATAATCTGGTGAATGATATTCATTGATATTCTATGTGTAATTATTCTTTCCCGTATATGTCTTCGTCTATTGCAGTTTCATTGTATTTATTCTCAACCTTTATTTGTGAGTTCATGAAGTATGACAACTTGAACTGCTGTACTTTCATGAGGAATCTTACTCTGAAAAATTATTTCAGTTTTCTAAGGCTATAGGCAGTTCGTTTTGTCCCCTGTGACTTTAAAATTTTCCATCAAACCAAAGGTTGAATCCATTTTCTAGCCTGTTCAATTATCTGCCTTTTCAATTTTATGCTTGAATATAGTATTGTTGTGCTTTCTTTTTACACACCTAATAAGTTAACTGAAGTGTACTTTATTTTTCTGCCTTAGACAACTATTCTCATTCCTTTGCATACCAAGTAGAATACTGAGAGAGCTTCAATCATTGAGCTTTGAGGTTACAGTAGCGTTGGTATTGTTGGTTTCGCACAGTGACATTTCTAGCTTCATGTTCATAATTACTGTCAGCTAGTAAACTAAGCGAGACTTAACAGTAAGCCAGTCGTTCAGGAATCGAACCCACGTCATGTGGGTATCTTTTGGGCATTCTACTGTTCAGCCACTTTTTTTATTCCTTTACATTCCCAGTAGAACATATAGCTTCAAGCTAAAAGCTTGAAGTTTCTGTAGCAATGGTGTTTATTTCTACTGAATGGGGTTGCTAGCCGCCTACTGCGCAACCTTCTCTCTTTACCAGTCTTATTACTGGCTTAGCGAGGTTAAGGAGTTCATCGGCCGGGGATCGAAGCATGGACCACTTGAGGCGTGGTTGGCGAGCATCCTACCGTTGTGACACCATTCAGCCAATGACGGTAGTTAATAATGAATTATAAATCTTTATTTTCTATAGTTTGGTTTGTAAGGGTTAGTTTTTTCTACGAGTTGATCACGGATTGATATCAGTTAGAGAACCACTGAAAACCAGAGAGTATTGGATAGCTACTTCATCCTAGTTTGGGAATCATCGGCAGTACGTACCCACCAACAGGGTTCAAACCCAGGACCTTCCGGTTACAAGGCAAGCTCGTATACCATTCAGCCACTGGGACCCGATTCCTCAATGGCCAGCTTATGAATTCTAACTTCTACCAGTTCGTGATTTAGCGCGACCCCAACCAATGTCGTCGGTGGGACATCCATCCTCACATGGATGAGGTCGCGCTAAATGCAACACAAATTGGTAGAAGTTAGTAGTCATGAACTGTCAAATCAATCGGCGGGTCCCAGTGGCTGAATGGTACACGAGCTTACCTTATAACCAGAAGGTCCTGGGTTTGAATCCTGTTGGTGGTTGCGTACTGCCGATGACTCCCAAGCTAGGACGAAGTAGCTGTCCAGTACTCCTTGTGGCTGGTTCTCAAAGGTTCTCTAACTGATATCAATCCATGATCAACTCGTAAAAATAAAGCTTTATTATTTTGCACATGAACCTAATTGATTCTTTGTGCATTTTTCAGGTAAATTAAACAGTAGGATAACTAATCTAATATTGAACATTATTTATCAGTATTATGTAAGTAGTCTATATAAGTAAACACAAAGAAATGAACCAAAATTTGTAACAAAAAATACCGATCACTTCAACACATAACAAAAGAAAGGTAAACAAATATATATTATCGTGTAACTTATTACTTTGTTTCTTCAGTGAAACTGATTCATCTAAAATTTTATGAAAATAAAAATTTTTTTAAAAATTAAGAGTATGGAGTAACATTAATTTTTCGTGATAGAACTAACACACTCGCAGGATAATAAGAGCTAATACTTGAATAATCTGCCTCATCAGCAACAAACGGAGCCTATTGAAAACGCTCATCGGTAGAGCTAAGGCGTTGTGTTCAAAAGATAAGATCGAAGAGGAACTTGCAGTCATCGAAACAAAACCTTATCGAAAATGTATTCCCTCGTAGGTTCATATCGAAAAAAATGGGGAAGAAAAATCACCTACACTGAAACCCAAAAAAATAGTTGAAAGGAAACTGGCTTTTGTCTGTTTGCCTAACACAAGCAAAGAAGCATCCATAAGAACGGAAAACAGAATTAAAGGTGCATTGAAAAAAAGAACATTTCCCACCACCAGACTCATTCCACTTTTTTACAACACAGGATGCTCGTTAACCCAGTCAAAAGTGGATAAGTATCCTACTGATGTCAACTCAAACTGCATTTACCAATTCACACGCACTTGCGGCAGCAAGCACATAAGAAGGACTGAGAGGAGAGTGCCTACTAGATTCTTCGAGAATATCCCAAAAGTCTCCGTTTGAAAGGCATCGAATTATCCTCAAGTGGACTTGCCAGACATCTTATTGACACAGGACATACAGTGGAAATTAGTCAGGCTTTCAAAATAATTAATACATAAAGAAAAGCAAGGTTACTTCGGTTCGCAGAAACCATTGTAATCAAACGACTTCAACCCAACCTATGCATACAGAAAGAGAGTCTGTGACTGACGTCTCACTACCCCAGTAACCATAACTGTTTTGTTTGTGTACTTTCGTATTTTGTTCTGTTGTGTAATTTGATTTTGATTTTCACTCATACATTTGAACTCAGTACTAAGGTTGCAAATCTACTAAATTAAATTACTTTATCTAGTTCATAATACTATTTCACTATTCATCCCGTTCCTCCTGAACTCTCCACCATAATATGTGTTAATTTTACTCTGTTGTTCTATCATGTACTTTGTCTCTAGTCCATCCTTGTTCCCAAGCAAAATCTGAACTCCACTTCAATTCCTTGTCTAATTACTACATAAATAGTTACTCTTTTAACACTAAATAACTGTCAGCTTACATCATCTTTGAAATTATGTTGCTTATACTTTCCATCGATAACTTAAAATCATTGTTAAAAGTATGTTCAGACACCATTTTGCGAAGTGTAACTGATTTATATAGGATGTGCGCAACTGAAGAGAATACACTAAATAAAATGAGCTCGTATTATCTTGCAAACATATGTTCCTTCTTTCTTTATTTAAGTTAATTAAGGGAAAGGGATATACGAAATTTTGAGGAACCTGAAAATGTGTACCAAGGAATCTGTTGGCAAAGAACTCCAAAATCTCTGAAGAATTTCGGTGGAAAATGATTTTCCAACCAGAGCCATAGACAAGCACCTGAAACTAAAGAAACCTGCTGAACAGATCCAGGTCACCACAGAAAAACATTCTGCTCCTGAATCCCAAATTTAAAAGTGATACTCAAGTAGAAATTCTAGGTATACGACTTTCAAAATCTCTCAGTGAGACATACTTTGCTGACAGCCTCTGAATAATATTTTCTTCCAAGACAACCACAGACATCAATTCGACTGGGACAACCAACGTTCAAATATTAGACAGAGGAAACACCAAGAATGCTAGAGAATTTTTAGAAGCCAGTGAGTCGTCAATCAATAGACACATCGAGATTGACAAAATTTGCCAACTGATAAGAAGGAAATCTCACACACAAAGGATCAAAGTCCAGGTCAAGGATACAATCAGTGCCAATACAAAAACAAATAGCCTAGAGGGTGTGAGAAAACACAAAACAACCAATCACGTTCAAGGTCACCAGGTAAGATGTCTAATAATCTCATGGAGGAATCTAAAAGCTCACTTCAAATCGAAGTATACACTGAAGATGTTGCCTCGTAGGGCAATGAAAGCTTCGCAAGTAAACTATCCAGCTCAGAGAACACAACCACATCAAAATCATCCACCTGAGCTACAAATCCTCTCCATCATATACGAATACATATTCTTTTCATTATTCTTTCTGACAATTTATTTTTCAAAAGAAAACTGACAAAGTTGTTTGAAAGTGATTCATCATAATCAACACCAAGTGAGATCACTAAATCATGAGTTACACATACCTCAGTACAGATTTTCTCAACGAATAACGTTGACTAAAGTAAGATCAGATTAGAAATAGTTAAAGCTTGCCAGATTAAATCATATTAGCGTGAATCTACGGAAGACATGTATCTTGTCTGACTGAAGTTCACAGTGTTGTTAAGCGTCATCAGTAGTTTGAGACTCTTGAAGTTTTGATTGTAAAAAAATATTTCACAATAGTGTAAAAGTACTTTGAAGTTTCGGTGGCAATGGTGTTTATTTTTACGGGATAGGGTTACTAGCCTCATGCCCAACCTCCCCTTTTTACCAGTTTTATTACTGGCTTAGCGAGGTAAAGGAGTACGTCGGCCGGGGATCGAACCCCAGACCACATAAGGCGTGATTGGAGAGCATTCTACCGCTAAAGCACTTACCTGTGATTATTTCACTTACCGCTTAATCCTTTTGGACAAACACTATTCATTTTTTGTAAGCATACTTGTAACTGAACATCCCATATACGTAGAACACGATCTCTTGAAAAGCTGAGTAAACGACTCCGTGAAATATGAAATTGAACAGCTACCACAGCTGCCATATGTCCTCTAAGTAACTAATATGTGTACATATATACGGGGGATAAAAATGCGGCAATTAGATAATGATAAAAATGAAGAAATATGTGCAGACAAGTAGACATACAATTCATTGTTATGTTATCATTCTAATTTACGTGGGTTCCAAGTGGAACATAGGGTTTCTGAAACACATCTCCACTTGCAGTCCTACTCAGCGTGCCCCACAACTAATCATAAACTTTCATCTCTTCCTCACACAATCTCCTCCATCTTACCTTCACACACACGCCAAACTCATCAATTTCCATTCCGGTTCTATTCGACTATCAGTCTGGCGTATAATGTTACTTTAGTCTCAGTATGTGTCTAATCCATTTCCAATCTCTTCTGCATATTTGTTGGATAACAGGTTTTTGATTGACGCCTTCACAGAGTTTCTTGTTGGTATTTCTTATACGTAAGATACGTGTAGTCGGAAACACACATTCTTTTTCTCCCCTACTTAACAGAACACTAGGCTGAGGACTGTACACTTACGAAGCAGTAAACATTACAATCGGTACTGAAGGAAACTTTGGAAGATCCCTATTAAATTGTCCTTAACAAAGCATTATTTTCCCAGGAATATATATCAAGAAAATTACGTAATAATGTATAAGAAGACAATGAGGAGTAATTCGAAATCAGATAAACAAGTTAAGGTCATTATTTAGAAAGAGTTGATAATTATAAGGCAACAGACTACACAATTCGTGTATTTATATCAAATGGATGGGAAAGTTCCAGAATAATTTCCGGTTAAGGGTCAAATTAATAAAAATTACAATTAGGAATTAGAATGCCATAATAAACAGGGGGGCGGATAAAACTCGAACAAAGTAGCACTATAATAACTAAGAAGATTGACATTGTGCAATTGGGGGTTAGAAATGTAAAAATAACAAAATATACAGGATGTTTGGATAAAAAACTAATATGATGAATAATTGTTTATGCATTCAGGGATTAAATATGTAGAAATAGTAAAATGACAAAATAAACAGGAAGTGTGGATATGAAAATATGGTAGTGTAGACAGGGATTAAGAAAAACTTAAAATAACATGAATAAACAGGAAGTTCAGATAAGAAGGGCGGTGAGATTGTCATTACTAAAAAAATTTTACCTGTTTATGATGGCCATGGCAGGGACAGGGGTTGGACGTATTTCTTTTAAATACAAAGTGTGGGTTTGAGCTTTTGGATAGCTAGCGCCTCAGCTATGCCCAGATGTCTTGACTTGACTCCCTTTGATGGGTTTGATTGAATCTTGTATATTACTTTGAAGGATTTTTCGAAAGACGCTGAATGTCCTGAGTTGACCAGATGCTCTGTCACTGAACTGTATACACGATTTTGGTCTCCTTTTACTAGCCAGGCTGGGTAGTGTTCGCGAGCGCGTTTTCCAAGTCGGCACATGGTACGGCCGATGTACTCAGCTCCACAAGAGCAAGTAAACTGGTATATGCACGTTGAGGTGGCCCAATGCGACAGCTTGTCTTTCGCGTTCTGGCTGAACAGTTTCTTGCAAGAAAACGTCAGTCGTAGGCTTGCGGCGAAGTAGGTTTTCCTAAGAGATTTGCAGAGGCGTTTGCGAAGGATTTCTACTTCAGTATCACCTTTGAATTCTAGATTAAGCAGAAGTGTTTTCTTTGGAACGGATTGGACTTGTTCTGAAGTCTTCTTAGATTTGAGATTTTTGTCTATGAACCTGGGCGGGAAACCGTTTTCCATAAGGGTTTTCCGGAGATTACGCAGTTCTTACTCAATCACTTCCTCGCTGCTGTTATTTTTACATTTCTAACCCCCAATTGCACAATGTCAATCTTCTTAGTTATTATAGTGCTACTTTGTTCGAGTTTTATCCGCCCCCCTGTTTATTATGGCATTCTAATTCCTAATTGTAATTTTTATTAATTTGACCCTTAACCGGAAATTATTCTGGAACTTTCCCATCCATTTGATATAAATACACAAATGTACAGCCTAGATGATGACTTCGTCAAAAAGAAAATTTTCTTCGCTGCAACTGTCTTTTTATTAACTCCTATGACCCAATGTGTATATTCCGTGACTACACAATTATTGTCAATACAGATTTGATTTTCCCACTGATTGATTGGACCGAGATGTTCTACCTCTTTTGACATATCGACTCCCAGTGAAGACTCTTCAAAGATGTCTGAGGATTAACTTGAAGTAATTTGATGGATAGTGACTAGCAATGGTATGTAGTGAAATAGATTCGTCATTTGAATGTACCTGCTTCCCCGGTATACGCAATTATGTAATCAGTTCAATATTTGTTACAGTGGGCCATTGGATCGGGTCCAAGTGGCTTAATGGTCTACGATCTAGCTCACCTTGTAACCAGAAAGTCTTGCTTTCGAACCCCGGTGAGTGCTTACTGCTGAAGAGTTTCAAACTAAGATGGAGGAAAGAGCTGTCCAATACTCCCAGGTTTTCCAATGGTTCTCTAACCGATGTCAACTCATGATGAAATCCTGTAACCAATTTTTACTAGAGTAAGGTGAGATTAACCACGGTTCCTTTTTGTGTACCAAAGTTAAGTAGAAATCCTTTGATGACATTCAGTTAAGTAAAACGAAGAAAGAGACATTGGTGATGATTATAAAGACAGAGGAAACATTCACTTCTTTATATCTTGGTTCTTTAAGAATTAGAGAGGCTGAAAATAGTAAAAGGAAAGGAAAACAGTAGGTTTTCAGGCATAAAATGTGTCCGAGGTATACGATTTATCAGAATAATTGTGTAGGAAGTCTCTCCTGAACAGCCTATGGATGATATTCTGTAATTTTATTGTTTCTCTTTACGGTTGTGTGACGTTCTTGATATTCTGTTGCTTTACGACTGTGAATTTGTTTGAGTGAAGTTAAAGTCATTCCCATCTGGTACTCTTTGCAGGTATTGTGATTCGTTCTGACAGAGGTTTGATCCCACTTTGTTGGAAATATTCCTCTTGATTTTCAGGTACTTGTAACGGTTAATTTTGGTTAAATAATTCTATTTTATAATACTTTCTTCGTAACTGAGGCCCAATTTGACCTGTACAGCTGACTAACGGCATTGTTGAGGTAATTTTTATAATTTCATTATTGTTATTTTTTATTATCGCCAGGACTATAAGTAACTCAATTAAGTTGTAGTCAGTAATACAGTGAAACGCGTAGATCGGATTTCTGCATTCAGACCACGACACTTCGGTTTTGTTCGTTGCATATGATTTTTCGTTCTTGTCAGACATGATAGAGATCTGGGTTCAATTTCCGACCAACAAACTCCTAAACATCATCCAAACTCCAAAAAGGGCCACGAAAAGTAGTAAACTTGGGCGTAAAGCTAACAGTCGTATTCAGTGAAACTACAACACCAATGATACTGCTACTTCAAAGCTCGTATGTAGACCACCTATGTTCCACTCAGATGGTAAACGAATCAAGAAGACGAAGAGGAACAGTGTTTCCTTTCAAGCCAAAAATATCCAAAGGCTACATTTCCACTGAAGTAGTCTTCGCAAGTGATATCACATTGAATTGGTGATCTTATCATGAGCACCAGTTATGTTAGTTCCTTTCACCACTAAACATTTCATCATAATTGTACTCTTTGATGATTGTATCTTAAATTCTCAGACAAGGCTTAGTGTTCTTCTGCGGAATATTGCAGAATTTAGGTGAAGTTGTAGATTTTCAATCAGTTTAATCCATTATAATCAATGTCGTTCTTGTACTCGGAATATTCCATATGATCGAATGAAATTTTCTATTCGTAAATTACACAGAGTTCGTGGTGAGAATTCATCATAGTTTCCTTTAGAAACTTGATTATGCTTAGTCTTTGTATTTCCAAATATGAAGTCAAGCTGACAGATTGTTTTGATGTGAGCGTTTTTGATTCCTCTGGGAGTCAGTGCTGAATTTTCACCTCGAATTGTGAAACTTGGAAATTGTGAAACCGATTCCACGCATTATCAGTTCGCTTATGTGGCTAGTCAGAAATCAGGCAGTTTAAAATGAATCGGCTTTTTTTGAGCAGAGTCAAAGTTGGCACATCGTTGATGAGTGTTGGCTGTAAACGAGCAAAATGGTTGAGCGGCGTTTATATCACTTGGTCTGGTTAATCTTGTCTCTCAAGTCACGCATTCCCGAAGGCACTTTACAAATCTCTTCGATCTTCTAATCTTCAACCAAATTTTTCAAATCTTATTCGCCTTAAGAAATCTCACATTGACAATTCTAATGAGAAGTTATGTGGATTAACTGAACTCCATTTATTGTCATCAAATATATTGTCTGATGCCTCCATAATTTCCTAAATCTAGTTCATCAATTTTTGTAGCTCTGCCGTTAATAAAACGAAAGAGAATACTAGATGGAAATTGCTTGGATCTTGTACCTCTGACTTCCAATTAAACCAATTCCCATTAAATCCTGCTAAGTATGTGACAAATCTGTCATCGGTTGAACTTTTATTACATGAAAAGGAGGTGCTATCACTTGGTTTCAATTTTTCTATCCCATCAAACAATATTTCAGACTTAGCTATTGATTCTCAGTTTGAAAATTTGTATGATCAGTTGAGTTCTCTAACTCCTTCCTCGACAGATGACCAAAGTTGGTTGAAAGTTAAATTTGTAGATGTAGCACACCAATTCCGTAATTCAAGTCGGAAACAAAGAAACATTTTAACATCAACTCATTTTAAAGCCCTAGAGGAATTACGTAATAGATCCGATTTAGTTATTTTGAAACCTGATAAAGGATCTAGTGTAGTTGTAATGGAAAGAAGCGATTACAAAATAAAATTTTATCCATCCTTAATGATAAAAGCAAATTCATAGCCGATGTTCCTTCTGATGATATCAGAAAAATGGAAGGAAAAGTAACTTCGCACTTAGTAAAACTTCTTGGCATGGATGTTATCGATAAACAGGAGTTTAATTCCTTGTAACCCATGGGATCTGACTTTCCAAAACTCTATGGATTACCCAAGATTCATAAGGTTGATAATCCATTAAGTCCAATTCTGTCAATGTGTCACTCTCCTACACAAAAATTAGCAAAGTGGTTAGCTGATATTTTAAGTCCAGTACGCAATGAATTATGTAAGTTTACTTAGAAAGATAGATTTCAACTTGTTGACTGTCTTGTAGATATGAACATAAAAGATAGGGAAATGTACTCATTTGATGTTAATTCTTTGTTTACTAATGTACCACTGGTTAAGAGTGTTGATATTCTTTGTGACTATATATCTTCTAGTTGTTTTTCATTTCCTTTTCCCTTAACTTATTTGAAAGATTTATTACTATTATGTACTGACAACGTCGATTTCACGTTTGAAGGTGAACATTTTCGACAAGTAGATGGCGTAGCTGTGGGGAGTGCATTAGGACCTTTGTTAGCAGACTTTACATGTCTTATGTTGAGAACTTGTACCTTGATTTAATTTCTAAATCGCCCTTCTATAGGAGATATGTAGATGATATCATTTTGATACGCGACTATCATGAAGATGCGAGTCGTCTATTAGACAGACTTAACTCTGTACAGAATCATATTAGTCTTACATGCGAGAAAGAAAGTCGCAGCCAGCTTGCAGTTTTAGACATACGTCTGAGTCGAAGAGATGATGGTTCAATAAGACGATCAATCTACAGAAAGCCCACTTGGACAGGGCAGTACCTCAATTTTCACAGTTTCTGTCCATTACAGTATAAGAGAGGCTTGGTGAAATGCTTATTTAAGAGGATTCAACGTATTTGCCCGGCTCGTGTTATAGACAAAGTAACGAAATATTGATGGATACTCTTGTTGAAAATGGATATCCTCTAAAAATTTTAATCAGGTGTAGAAGTCTTTAAACCTATAATCTATACAGCCCCCAAGAAAAATGTTTTCACCAAATTACCATATAACGGGGAAATAAACAGTAGGATTTTGAGACAAAGGTTGAATTCGATCATCCGTAGAACCTCTTATACAGCACAGCTTGTGATTGTCGAAAAAGCTAAAAAAAAATATGCTCCACTGCAAACCTCAAAAGTGCATAAGTGATTATGTCACATCCCACACTATTTACCATTTTTCGTGTGTGTGCGCGTATGGTTACACATATACAGGGAGGAGTAATCGCGCTTTGCACGTGAGGTTGGGAGAGCATATCCCAAAGTGGTTAGGAAAACAGATGAATTGTGACAAGCCAAAAGATGCAAGTATCAAACAACCAACTTCATCTATAGCTAAACATCTAATCGAGATGAACCATAAGATTGATGTTAACTCAGCCTTTAAGGTCATCTATAAAATTTGTCAAGGCCGCTTATGGAAATACGCCGAGGCTATAGTTATTCATAAACTTAAGCCCCCCTGTGTATTCAAAACAGTTTATTATTACTTTTAACTTGCCTTAATTATCCTTATTTCATTGGATTACCAAACGTTGTGTTAATCATTCTTAAATCCTTTTTTTTGTCACTTCGTTTAATTTAACTTTTTCTTATATATATATATATATATATATATATATATATATATATATATCGGCTTAACAAGTAAATGTGTGATCAGATTGTTCGAAATGTATAGCGCAAATACATCACGTTGTTTTTCAGATAATCTCCGTCTTCTTATAACGCCATCCAAATTTATAAAAGGGACTAAATGTTTTAATCGGAAAGCATTAGAGGTTGTCTTAAGTGATTTGAGCTACTTATTTTCATAAGGAGTGAAAGGGATTCTGTTCTGTCGCGGATATGAAAATAAGTCACTCACCGCTGGTGAGAAAGGCATTACATTGAAGTAAACACTGAAGATTCTGTCTAGAAGGACAATGAAAGCTTTCAATTAAACCAACCAGCTAAGAGAATACTACTAGACAACATATTAATAGTAACTTCACTGGCTTCTTCATTGGCTAGTATACCTCGAATCTCATAGGGAAATATAACTTACATTTACCTATCAAATACGCTTCGCCAATGCCTGTCAGTAACCACGAAATCTATGGATAACGCTTTTCCTCGAGTATATCTTTTCACAAATAACCGGGGATTTTACCTATCATCTGTAAACTGTTTCATTTTCGCAGAAATCACTGGATGGTTTGGGCTGAATCGCCTGTCTGAGCTGGGTCAAACCGAATACACTGCTGGTGAGTTCGACTCCGAAGGAAGGGAAACAGCCAGCTGTTCAGATCACTTCGATCTGGCTGGCTAGCCAGAACTATTGGTTGATATAAGTGGTTTACAACTACTCATATCGCTTAATTAGTAGTATATAGTTTTATGCAAATCAAATTGTTGCCTAAAGGATAATTATTATAATTTCGTATATTCCTATGTTGTATTTATTCATATTATTGTATATTTTCTGCACAGATTGATTATATTTTATCTTACCCCATTCGGTTTAGAAACAACATAAGGATTCCATAGACAAACATGATAATTAACTCCAGCTGTTGCTATTTGATTATTTCCCTCGTGAAAATCAAAATCATTTATGCCTTGATGTACTGTAAACACAGAACTAAAATGTATGAAAAGTAGCAGGAAAAAGAGAAATTCCATCTTATTACTTTATAAATTAAATGTCTATAGATTCAGGTTGAATTTAAATAAATTACATGGAGGATTTCATTATGAGCTGACATCAGTTAAAGAACCACTGGAAAACCTGGGAGTACTGGACAGCTATTTCGTCCTAGCTCAGTACTCTTCAGCAGTGGTTCTATAACTGACGTCAGCTCATGATGAAATCCTCCATGTAATCAGAAAAAATTCCTACAAAACCAATACTTGAAAATTAAATGAATTAGGTGATTATATTGATACACATAGTTTAGAAATAGAGCTGCCGACAATCCACCTCAAAGAACTTTTATTGAGATGCACGTTGAATGTTCACTTCACCTTCAATAATGAGATTTTTAGACGGAGAGATGACATTGCCATGGGATCACCACTGGGTCCTTTGCTGGCTGATTATTTTATAGCAAAGCTTGAAAATTATCAACTTAGTCAAACCCTCGATCATTTCGACATTTATAAAAGATACGTAGACGACACTTTCGTTATCCGCGATAATAACGTAATTCTTGATGATGTCTGGTTTGCTTTCAACAACTGCCATCCTTCTTTACAATTCACTATAGAAAGGGAATCTGAACTTAGTATTCCGTATCTTGATGTGTGCCTTAGTAGACGTAATGATGGATCTCTCAAAAGATCTATCCACCGAAAACGTACATGGAACGGACAACTAACTAATTTTTATATTTGGGTTCCTATCTCCAGGAAAGGAATCTAATTCATGCGCTCTGCTTTAGGATAAGAAACATGTGCAGTTCTGATTGCGTTGACTCAGAACCTGACTTCCTAAAAGCTACGGTCGCAAAAAACGGTTACCAGAATCAATTTATTGACAGTAACATGAAAGATAAGCAATCTAAACTGGTCACCGACTCAGTTCCAAAGAAAACCTCATTCACGAATTTGGAATTCAAAGGTGATCAAACTTCAGATATGATCAAAAACCGTCCCTCTAAAGCAGTCAGTAAGACGTTCTTTGCTGTAAAATTATAAATGACGTTCACCAGCCGCACGTTGTTCCCCACCTCTGTAAAAGATAAGCTCTTCCGTCTGGCCACCTCCATGTGCATCTATCAGTTCACCTGTTCTTGTTGAGCAAGGTGTATCGGCCGAAGTCGGAGGACGCTTTTCACACGGATACGAGAACATATTCCAGCATGGTTTTACGAGGGAGAAAGGAAGTGTGTGGTAAGCTCTATTCCACAACACCTGATCGACTCCTGTCACTCTGCCAACCCCGACCATGATTTTAAGATCATCTACTTAATCCATGCTTACTTGCCGCGTTTTCTTCGTTACAGACTTCTAAAGACAGCCGAGGCCTTGGCCATTCATGACTTTAAGCCAGACCTTTGTGTACAAAAGAAGTTTGTAGAATCCTTACTTCTGCCTTGGACGCAGAGGGATATACATTTATTTATTTATTTTGTTTATTTAGTTAATCTGTGTACTTTTCCCTCATTACTGAGATTATTATTACTATTCTCACTGTGAATTGTCTCCACTTGTCCCACTTACCACTCTAAATTCAAAATTATTATTATTTTTTATTTTTACATTATTGAATTCTCTCATTCTGCGATTTAATTCGGTGACCTCCTCAATGTATGCCCGATCCATCCCCATTTTCTCCTACATATTTGAGCGATCGGCTCTTGGTTGGCTTGTTCCCAGCAAGAGTTTCTTTTTGCTTATTCTTCCTGGCTATTTGATATTTCAGCCAGCGTAGGCATCTGTTGATGAAAGTCTGCAACTGATTGTTGGAAATACTTGTCGTGACACTCAGTGCAAGTTTCTGACCCGTATAGGAGCACTGACCGACTTGACATTTGTGTTGAAAATGCGAATCTTGTTCCTTATGCCGACTGCAGAGGATTTCCGAACTGGTTTCAGGTTGATGAAGGAGTGCGTATCTTGTCTTTCCGATTCTTACTGGCTGGCTTTGACATCATCTGTTCCACCGGCCTGTACCTGAAATGATGCTTCCCAGATAAGCAAAGAAGGTAACCCCTGTTAAATCCCTCCCGTTGATGGTGATTGGTGCTGGTTGTTGTCATTGTTGCTGCTGTTCGTTGGTTATTTTCATCACCTCCGTCTTCTCTACGTTCACCCGCATTCCTGTTTTCGCTGCCTCTTCATCCAGCTTATTGGTTTTCGCTTGCAAGTCTTCGAGTTCGTGTGCTATTAGACATATATCATCCGCACGCGAAATCCAGATCTTCTAGAGTCTTCTTATCGGTCGTCCAGCGTAGTCCTGACTCCTCGCCCCCAACAGTCTGACGCATAATCCAGTCCACCACAATTAAGAATATCATCGATGATAAGAAAGTAAAGGCGTAAAATAAATAATTAAAGGTAATCTGATATAACATTTGCCAGATATAATTTGTTTTCTGTAGTTGGTTTGTAAGGGTTACATTTGTTTTTTACGAGTTGATCACGGATTGATATCAGTTAGAGAACCATTGAAAACCAGCTACAGAGAGTACTGGACAGCTGTTTCATCCTAGTTTGGGAATCATCGGCAGTACGCACTCACTTCCAGTGTTCGAACCCACGACCTTCGGGTTACAAGACAAGCTCGTTGACGACCATTCAGCCACTGGGACCCGATTCATTGGCCAGTGCATGAATTCTAACTTCTACCAATTCGTGATTTTTTATAAAAAACACTGTTACAAAGTGTATGAAGTTAATTTATCACAGCTATACGAGATCTATGGATAACATTTCAGGTAATTATTATTGTTTATTTTAGTTCCTAGAGGAACATAGGACTTTAGCCACACGTCTCCATTGAGTTCAGTTCTCCACCAACGTTTCCACCTGCCTCTACGTCTGCCCACATGTTTTCATCTCCTCTTCGCATGATCTTCTCCTCCATGCCACCCTTGCACTGATGACCGACTCGCCGCTTCCCATTCAGATTCCACTCGAGAGACAGCCTGGTGTGTGATGTCACTCACCTGATGGTTTGTTTTCTCATAGAATGGCTAATCCAACTCCATTTCTTTCTGCATATTTGTTGCAGTCTAAATATATTATCTGTTTTGATTTTCTTTCAAAATTTTTAAATATTTTGTTGAATAATTGTGAACTGTGTCAAACAAACAAGTTCAGTAATTTACCTATTTCAGTGTCTGTAGGTGTAAAGTGCTCCGATGATTGAATAACGTTAAATCAGACTGACTAGAAGTATGTAAAACCTATGTACAAAGCCTGAACAGTATTCACATGTTACGTTTATGAACATTTGATCGATTTTAGAATAGAACTCATTACGAAACAGAATTACAAGAGTGTGACAAAACAACTATCCTGGATTTTAATCGTTCCTTTTTTTCCTTCACGTTCCCCAGTGGAACATAGGGCTTCAAGCTAGTGGCTTGAAGTTTCTGTAGCAGTGTTTATTTTACAGGACGGGGTTGCTAGCTTCATGCCAAACCTTTCCTCTTCATTAGAATTATTTCTGGGTTAGCGAGGTAAAGGAGTGCATCGGCCGGGGATCGAACTCCGAACCATGTGCATGGTCGGCGAGCGTCTTAACCGCCGCTCCACCGACGTTCCTTTAGGTGTTGTTTAAAACATTTATGTGTTCAGCAACAACAACAACAACAGACTTGAAAAACGTCAATGTATAATCTACTCATGATGATTAGTCATTTAACAACTCACTTACCGACGTGATACCACTCTTGGTTCACAGCTGAAAATGAAGAAAATAAAAAATTTCCATTTATGCAAAAATAGTAACAATAATGGTTGATAATCACCTGGGTTTACAAAAAAACCTTTTCATGTGTTAGAATATTTATGTATGTGTACGCTTCATCATCGGACACAGGACAGAATGGCAAAATCAAATATCTACCTCAACTTGATCGGATCGAAAAAGCTTTCGACATCGATGACCATGAAATTATTTGGAAACTACGTCCACAGTCAGCCTTTATTTAACAGCTATATGGCAATGCCGTATGTCAAGTGTTCCCCAAAGAAAAACTCAGAGGTGACTTCTAAGTGAAGACAGGAGTAAGACAGTGCTGTCTACAATCACTGAAGATATTCTTAATTCTAGTGGGTTTGACCATTTGGCAGACCATGGGGAGAGAGGAGACAGTAATACGTTGAACCGATAAGAAGGCTCTAGAAGATCTAGACTTTACGGACAGTTCATGTCTAATTTCGTATCAACCTGAAGATCTACAGTTGGCAGAAGCAGTAGGAAACGACAGGATTTCAGGTAAACACAAAGAAGACAAAAATAAAGGAAGATACCCGAAAATCAAATAACTAAAAGCACCAATCAGCACCAACAAGGGAAATTTGAAAGAGGTCACTTCCTTCCCTTATCTTTACACCGTCGTTTTAACTACATGCGTAATGGATCAGGATTTCAAAATCAGGACTGGAAAGGCAAGGCAGACCTTCATCACTCTGAGATTGGTGGGAAAATTTGATTCACTCAGCGTAAAGAACAAGATTCGGATATTCAACATCAAAGTCAAATCAGTTAGCGATTCAATATGGTTCAGAGACTTGACATTTCATGAAAAGCATTTACAACAGGCTGCTGCAAATTTCTATAAGTAGCTGTCTTCACTATCTGCACACTGAAGATGAGGTGACCAGAAAGGATAAATAATCAAGGAACTCTGGGAACTATCGAATCCAAAAGTTTTTGTCCAAAAATTACTCAGAAGAAAATGGAGATGGATCGGACACGTGTGAAGGAGACCGTTGGATGACTTCGCACACCAGGTCCTCGAGTGAAACCTGAGTTGAAAACGATGAGTTGGGTGAGGATCCGATGATGATACGGAGGAGATCGTGTGGGTAGGACATGGAAGCTTCTAGACAACCATGGAGCCAGCTGCAGACGATTGATCAGAAAGGTAAAAAATGGAGATATGCAACTGAAGCCCTATATTCCACACGGAATACGAGGGAATAATAATGGTTGAAGTCTGAAAACAAACGCGCGTGGTAGCAGGATTCGGGGTGGTGATCACTGTTTTAGCGATCTAATTCTGCATTTAGACAGCTACAGGAATGGTAGCTGGATAATTTAAAAACTGGGATCTAAACTTTTGTTTCAACACCTACTAACATCACATTACGTCCTCTAGAAACAGACAAAAATAGGACTTGACTTTTCAGAAACTCTGTAACTATATGTTGTGTAGCTCAAATCCGCATTCTCTCATCATATCCGCATGAAAAAATACGCCTTTTACAATATAAAACTCTGAAGAGACACCTTAAATGTCTGTATAAAATATATAATAATATGTAAATATTAGAATAATACATGGAAGCCAATTAGTTCTTTCTTTACACTGGAGTATTCTAGAACCCCCTAGAGAGTTGTCCTAACTAAAGATTTCAGCAGTTATGTATTTTCCGTGTAATATATTCACATATGTCAATACACACATACAAGCTAGTTGGTTTAAAGTAAATTAATCAGGTGTTTGTAGCATATTTATGACATAGAATTTAACATGGTATCACTTTCTTTCAGCAAATACTTTCCCCAGCTTTCTTCAGCTTATACACACCATTTAGTGTACACAACAAAATGAGTTAACACATTCTAGTCTGAGCACGGATTATTACCAGTTACACAACTCCTGATAACCAACAAAGAGTACTGCTAGACTGCTGTTTCATCCTACCTTATTAATCGTCAACAGTATACACTCACCAGAGCTCGAACCCAAAACTATTCCGGTTGCAATGACACCTCGTAGACCATTCAGACATCGGGAACCGATTCAGTCGTCACCCCATGAATTCTAACTTTCAACAATTCATGATGTTAGTGTGACTGTCACCAGTCAGTGTCATGCATGGCGAGTATTTGTCCTCACTTCCAAACTGGTGGACTCCAATGGTCACGACTTCTCACTAGAAGAACTTCAGACAACTCCATCCTGTAGCTAATCACTAGTGAGAATCAGTTCGATTTTCAAAAGTTTGTTTTGTAGTGATTCGGCTTGTTTCAAGTTTCACGAATACTCACTGATGACACTGGCTGGTGGTCACGCTTAAATCACAAAGTGGTAAAAGTTAGAATTGATGGGCTAAATATTGGATGGGGTAGGTATCAGTGGCTGAATAGTCTACAATCCCACATTATAACCGAAAGGTCTTGGGGTTCCACCTCCAGTGGGTGAGTAATGATGAAGAGCCCCTCAGAAGCATCAGTGGAGATAGAAAACAACTTGATCTCTAGAGTGCAATTGTATTAGCATTGTAGAGACTTTGCGTCATGTCAGTTGCAAAGGATTACTGGTTGTCCAGGAGGACTAGGAATTACTGTGCATATTAATGAAACTATCCTGATAAAGAAGAGGTATAGTTGGGCAGTGAGAAGGGTTAATCAGGTTTGGATGCTTGGAATGCATGACACTTCACGATGTAAAGGTTTTGTGAAAATAACACCAACTAAAAGTACGGGTGCATTAAAACCAGCAGTTTAGCGCTTGGTGACACCAGGGACAACAATACATACAGACGAATGGAAGAAATAAAATCATTTGTCTTATTTGGGTTATATTCATCAGTGTGTTAACCACTCCTCCGATTTTGTGGATCCCATTACAGGCACATGCACAAACCCAATGGCAAGATTTTTGGGTAGGTCAAAAAACAGAGTCAAAAGTATTAACGGATCCCAAAGTCACCTGGATGCATAAATGTATCATGTATGGTATGATCTCTGCATGGATTATCCTTGGAGGAACTGAAAAACATTCTTACACCACATAAAAGGCAATTATCCAGTGTAATGTCATGTTTGTAATGTTTTTCAATATATTTTTTCACCGAGTTCGCGACCCATTTTCTCATCAGAATTCGGATTGGTTGTTCAAGGGCACTGTGGCTTCGGCTGCTATAGCTTAACTTTGCGCAGTTATTTTGTGGGGATTTAATTTGTTTCAAGTTTGCCCGCAGATTGATGTCAGTTAAAGAACCACTAAAAGCCAGCGGCGAGTACTGGACAGCTGTTTCGTCCTAGTTTGCGACTCCTCATCAGTGCGCATCGACTGGGGCTAAAACCTAGGACTTTCGAGTTACATTCCAGTTCGTGCATAGTTCAGCCACTTTGACCCCATTCGATATCCAGCTCATCAATTCTAACTCTTACTAGTTCGTGATTTCAGCACAACCACCAGCCAGTGTCATCAGTGAGTATCCGTGAAACTTGAAACAAGTCGAATCACTACAAAACAAACTTTTGAAAATCGAACTGATACTCACTAGTGACTAGCTACAGGATGGAGTTACCTGGGGTTCTTTTAGTGAGAAGTTGTGACCATTGGATTCCACCAGGTTGGGAATGAGGACAAATACTCGCCGCGGATGACATTGGCTGGTGACAGTCGCACTAACATCACGAATTGTTGAAAGTTAGAATTCATTGGGTGATGACTGAATCGGTTCCCGATGTCTGAATGGTTTACTGTGTGTTATTGTCGCCGGAATAGTTTTTGGTTTTAGGCGTGGTGAGTGTATACTGGTGAAGATTTGTAGAGTAGGATGAAACAGCAGTCTAACAGTACCCTTTGTTGATTTTTAATGGTTCTCTGTCTAATAATTGCTTTAGTTTCAGTTAGTATTTTAGTTGATAGTAACTCGCAGTAGACTCCATTGGATACGCATTTCGTCCTATTTGGGACTCATCATCTAGTAAATATACATGCATTCCCAGTCCCAAATAGGACGAAATCCACATCATGGATTCCACTACTAGTTGTCCTCGACGTAAATAACACCATGTTAATTCTTAGACACCATCTAGACGTCCTTACTAATAATCTACACATATCAAAAGAGACTAAGCATTTCTGTCCGTTGTAATCAACCAATGGAAAATGTAATTTAAACTAGAAAAATATATTATTTAAGAGATTATCAGAAGTTTCAAATTTAACAAGAATAGTCAAATCAAAAAACAAAAAAAGAACAAATAACATACAATGCATTTGGATTTCTGGCTATACTAGCATTCGATGGTAACTTCTCTAACCAAGTGATAACCATTGAATTATTCCATACTGTTGCACATGTAATAAAAGCTTCTAATTGAGGAACATACATTACTGAAAAGTATATAGACAAGATAAGTAGTACATATATGCTATAAATAGAAATCAGCTCACCTTTACGCACCCAGTCTGTATGTATACGTAAACGTAGAAATGAAACAAATTTTGATTTCTTTTGAATAACATCATTCAAAGAAACATTGAACGTTGATTCTAAGCAGAGAAAAAGGGAATAAAAATTTAAATATAATGTTATTATTCCTTCGGGTTGTGAGTGGAACATACGGCTTCAATTGCACATCTCCAGTTTACCCTATTCTCCACAATCCTCCTCTTCAGCTAGCTCCAATGGTTGCCCATAAGTTCTCATCTCCTCTTCACAAGATATTCGCAATGTCACACTCAGGCAGACTCCCAACTCATCGTTTCCCGTTCGAGTTCCACTCGATAGTCAGCCTGGTGCGAGATGTTACACGACGGTTTCCATCTCCATCATTTTCTACATATTCGTTGAACAACAGGTTCCTGATTGGTTCGTTCCTAGTGCTTCTTGTTGACAACTCTTTCTGCCCATCTGATCTTCATTATGGAGCCAGTAAAGACAACTGTTGATAGAAGTCTGCAGTTGGCTGTTCAAAACGCTTTACGTGACACACAGTGAAAGTCTCTGTCCACTATAGAAAGACTGATTGACATAACATTGCTATTAAAAATCCGAATTTCGGTTCTTTATGCCACTGAGTGCAGCGGATTTTCAAACTGATTTCAGAATAATGAAAGTGTATCTTGGCTTTCCGATTCTACTTTTGACATCTTCATCTGTGTCGCCCACAGTTGAAACGATACTGATAGAAGGATAGAAGTTGTGCACTGTGGTAGAGTATAATACCATTGGGCGATAAAATTTATTTTGATAAAGTCACACAGTGCTATACAGTAATACTGACTGATGACGAATCACAAACCATTGGATTTTTAACAGTCAATATTTAGAAAATCATATAATTCCTAAATACTTACGCCTACGTACAGCAGTTACTTCAAGAAAAATAACATCAGCAGCGGAAAATGTCAGCAGATTATATCTAAGAGAAGAACTACATAGAATTATTATAAAACTAAACAATATATGAAATGAAATTGAAAAGCTCAAATACAAATTCAAATGTATGATCAATGACAAACATTGTGAAATTTTTGTTGAAAAATCAAAAAAAACTGGAGGAGCCGCATGAAGAAAATGAAAAACCACACAAATAAAGAAATTCAACAAAGTAATTGAAGAAAAGAACACAATAAATGAAGAATTTGACGCCAACGTTTCATCCTCTGTTGAAAGAACAAAGTGGGTGATCAACCTCCCATCAAGGGAATTAAGCTCTAGTGAGATAAAAGTACTTGAGAAAGGACTAAATTTCAAGGTAACAGTTAGTCAACTAAAATCAGAAGATGTCATTCCTAACACATAGAAGTAGCATTAAGCTCAACAGATAAGACGACAGAAAAAAACTTTCGAGCACTATGTGTGTTAACCCTGAAAAATCAAAAGAAAGCAAAATCAAAAACTCAACGAAATCGGAAAGACAAGCTCTAATTAGTCTAAAACGGAATATAAACATTGTCATCGCAAAGGCTGATTATACCAAGAAAGTCACTGAACATATTGAGACGGGTCCATATGAAGGAATTAAGAAGCCTGTAGATACAATAATGAATAAGGTTAAGTAATCTACAGCGGATCTAATACGCAGAATGAAGCCATCACTGGGTGAGTCTAAATGGTTTAATTTAATGCCTAAAACTAATAATGCTAGTTGAATGTATGGTACTATTAAAATATATAAGCCAGGTTACCCCATACGACCAATAGTAGATTTCAGAAATACCCCCACATATGAATTATCAAAACACTTGGCTCTAATATTATGCCCCATTAGAAATCGTTCAAACTCTAGACTAACTAATTCATATGAGATGAAAAATAAAATAAATGACATTCAACTAGAAAATGATGGAACAATAGTTAGTTTTGATATAACAAGTCTTTATACTAATATACCAATCAATATGACCTTAGAAGTAGCCAAAAGAGAAATAACCGCTGATCCCGAACTTAATCATAGGACAGAGCTGCCGATTGAGAAAATTATTTTGGGAATTTAGTTATGCCTCACATCTACTATTTTTAAATTCCAAGGCAAAATATATAGACAAGCAGAAGGTGAAGCAACGTGATCACCAATGTCCCCTATTGTAACAGACACCTTTATGAACAGCTGAGAAAATATTGCTCTTAATAAATTTAATTCTACTCCAAAAATATGGTGGAGAAATGTGGATAACACTTTCATAGTGTTAGAAACAGAACATATCTCTAGCTTCTTGACACATCTGAACTCACTAGTAAAGGGAATAAAATTCACATTTGAATCGGAAAATGAACAAGGAGAATTAGCAATGTTAGATTTTAAAATAAAACGAATAGAAGAAGGTAGCCTTCACTTTAGCGTTGATAAAAGACCAACGCATTCTAACAGATATTTAAAATTTAATTCATCTCATTCGTTGTCTGGAAAGGTAGGCTTAATTAAGTGTCTAACAAACCGAGCAGTAGCACTAATTAATACAACAAAAAACCTAAATGATGAAATAAAACAGATAGAAGAGCCGTTGCTGTTAAATAACTATCCTATAAAATTCATTAGGAATATCAAAAATGATCAGAAGCAAAATAAATATAATGGTGAAATTTATAGTGATAACATAAATAAGAAGGAATACAAGATATTTACAGTTTTCCTATATAAGGTGGGGACATCTGAAATCTGACGTGGGATTCTTATTAAAGCAGGAATTAGGGTGGCATTCAAACCTACAAACTCACTCAGACAGGACAAGCTCTGTAGGCTAAAAGACCCGGTTGACCCAATTAAACCGAATAATATAATTTGCAAAATACCCTGCAATGACTGTGAGGTCAACTACATAGGTCAAACTAGTAGATCGGGGGTAATCAGATTGTCGGAACATAAGAATTTAGTTAAGATAAGGATGGCTGACCCCGAGAAGATTAGTAATTTAGAAGAAAGCTCAGCAATAGCACTGCATGCATTAACACACAACCACACAATAGGATGGGAGAAGGTTAAAATTCTAAGAAGTAATATAGGTAGGTGGAGAGAGAGAGACGTTGATTGTCGAATTTTTTTTCATAGAATCTACACCCAAAACGTGCAATAGGAATCACTCACCACTCATACCACAAACATGGAAAATATTACTACCAATCAAATCAGGAGATGAGAAATAAAAGAATCATATAAACGAAGCTGGAAAGTTGTATGAGTGATTACCTTGATATGATTATGTGCAGTAATAAATTGTGCTCAAAACGTGGTCATCAGTAAATATTACTTACCGTAAAACACCACTGTGAGACATTATCAAAATAAATTTTATCCACAATGGAATTGAAACGATGCTGTCTAGATAAGTGAGGGGAATGACCTCTTTCAAATTTCTTCTGTTTATCATGACCGGTGCTTCTTGTTGTTGGTTGGTTAGAGATCTCCATCATCTCCGTCTTCTCTATGCTTATTTTATATAATAATTTAGATTTAATTAACATTGGGATGAATTATTTTGTAAGGCTGATATCGTCTAGAATAAAGCCATTAGAAATTAAGTATTACAACTGTGTAATTTCTTTTTTATTCCTTTATGGTTCCAGTGGAACATATGGCTTCTTCAAGCTAGAGGCTTAAAATTTCTGTAGCAGTGTTGATGATATTTTCAGGATGGGGTTGCTAGCCGCCTCATGCCCAACATTCCCTCTTTACCAGTCTTATTTCTGGCTTAGCGAGGTGAAAGAGTGCGTCAGTGGCCGGGGATCGAACCCCAGACCGAATGCGTGGTCGGCGAGTGCTCTACCGCACACAACTATATGATTCTTCCGTCCTAACTTGAGAAGCTACACTATTATAAAACTATAATTCTGCAAGGCTTAGCTTTCAGGATTTTGAAGGTTTTATACAAGCATACCAGTGTACAACAATTAAATCGGTATCATGTGACTCATACATCAGCTGTGTATTGTACTGTAAGCTTATTATTTCAGTTGAATAAATGAAAATATCGGGATTTAGGAAGCAGACTGACTGAAACTCTCATAATTAATTACCCTTACTAGAATGTCTCATATTTCGAGATTCAAGGGCAACGATAAGATAATCAGAACAACAGGATGAAAGGTAGTACCTTTGGAACAGAAAAAACTGACTGTTCGATTTATCAGGTTGCATTTCATATTACTACTTGTATCAATTTAATCGCTTCCTAATATAATATTGTTTAATCTATGATTCTGTATTGACAATTAATGCAATGGAATAATTATTTGGAAAATCCTTCCTGGACGATCAGTTTTCAGTTTTGGTACTTATTTGGATGCTTCAGCTAACTTTGTAATTAGAAAGAAGAGAACACGAAGTTCTGCAAACAGATATCTGCCTTTTCGGCGATTTCATCTTTAAAAGCAGCTGTACAATCGCATTTAAATACATAATTTTACATAGATACAATTTTTTGCTTGATTTGACATAACTACGGAGGCGAATAAAAGGGGACAATTATTTTCAACTAGATATGGTTTGCAAGAGGCTTAGAAACAAAACTACACAGGATTACGACGAATTACAGGTGTGTACAATTTGTTTCCATGCTCATTTTGTACACACTTGTAATTCGTCGTAATCCTGTGTAATTTTGTTTCTAAGCCTCTCATAAACCATATTTAGTTGAAAATATTTGTCGTCCTTTATTCGCCTTCGTTATTATGTGGAATCAAATAAAGACTTTATCTATGTAAATTTATGTATTTAAATGAGATTGTACAGCTTTTGAAAATGAAATCTCCGGAAAGATATATTTGCTGAAATTCATGTTCCCTTCTTTCCAACTTTGTAATTATTGCTCTCTTTTCTTCTAGACTGTATATCATCGTTCTAACGTTCGTATATCGCCTATTTAATCCCTAATTTAAATGCTTTTCTTTCTGATTGTGTGGTGAGGTTGATATGGTGTTGTTATTTTGCAGCCGTGATTCTGTTAGGATGAAATCAGGGTTTACTGTGGAGATGTTGATCTTGAATTGTCTGAGGAAAGCATTAGCCGAGTGTTGCTTGCTGATGGAGTTTTGATCCTACTTTATTTGAAATACTCTTATTAATCCTTAGGTACTTCTTACAGCTGACTTTGGTTGAATAGTTTTATTGTACTTATTTAGCATCTGAGAAACTACTGGATCTGTTTAGCTGCTAGCGTTATTGTTGAGGTAATTTTGAGTTTTCAGTGTGTTATTATTTTTGTTAAATAGCAATACAGATTTTGTTGCGAATAGCTGTCGTCATAGTACATTGGGAGAATGCATAACTTAAGAAATTTTCAATTACTTCCAGTGGACATTAGTAACCAGTGTGGTATGTCTTGTCCTTTCTTTGATGCAGACTAAATTCTATCAGTCACGTTTGCAATATGATCACCGTTCTAGGTAGCTCACCTTCTTTGTGCACTTTGAATTCTTGATTCTAGATGGTTGGAGGCAATCGATCGAAGGAAGTCTCGGGCCTGGATTTCGTGCCCGTGGTACCCGTCAGAAGGGCGTATCTACAACCTTTAAGGAACTCATGTCCCTTCTGAGATTCGAACTCGCATCACCCAATGCCGCAAACCTCACTAATAGAATTCAGTCCGTACGCATCTCACTAGTTACTTGTGTCCAATCAAAGTACCTACAAGTCCTACAAGAGGTCAGTCGCGAGCCCGAATAGCCCAGCAGTAACGTCTCTGACTGCAGCATTGGGTGACGTGGGTTCGAATCTCAGAAGAGACATGAGTTCCATTGAGGTTGCAGATACGCCTTGGTGACTGGTGAGTGCCAACTAGCACGAAACCTGGGTCCTAGCATGGCTTCCTGTGACCGATTTCCTTCAACCATCTTAAGTTTCAGTTAGCTATACAGTAGAAGGCAGGGATTTGTTTTCAGAGTTCAGACTACAAGCTTTCGAGTTTGATTGCTTCACTTAGGAATAAACAACAACATTCTCTGTCGGTGACTGGGTTTCCTTCAGTTAATAATGAGTTTCTATAAAGAGCCTTCATGAAAAAAACCTTTAATATCTTGAACTGACAAACCGTGATTTCTACTATACTACGGCAAAAGCAGTTAAGCTGTAAAAACTTAGATTGTAGAATGAGATAGAAAATATTAGTAGACCAGCATAGCGAATTTACTTTTTGATTGTGACTGAGTGACTAATACTTGGAACAAACTTTCCTTGTATTGCACCACACTTGTTGATGATACTACCCACTTACTTAGACTGAAGTAGGTAGAGTGAGATATGAACATTTAACTCATCAGCTGAAAACTAAGTCCATACGTAACCCAATAAGCCACATCTCCAATGCCATTGAAAAAGTCGAAAGCGAACCACATAATAGATGGGATACACTTTTTAAATTTCAGTATTAATTGTAAAAAGAAGTAAATCTACCAGACTCACCTCCTAGTACCTCCTTACCAAAATGTCAGTGAATAAATAGAAATACGTCAGTTAAATTAAGAATTCTTCCTTTTGTAATCACACTTAATTTTTAGGTGATGAAAAGTTAGTTACCTTTATCTAGTAACAGATAACTAATGATGGATTAAATTCATTAGTACCTTAAGACCATTTAAAAAGCTGGTTTTCGGTTCAGTGGAAAGAAAATCACTGTCCTTTTTTAAAACTACCAACGTTTCGTTAGTCATATACTCACACAATTGTAACCTCATTATCTTTTAACTCATATTTCTTTCATTCTGTTGTCATTTCTTTAAATTCTTATCCAGTCCTCCTACACCAATTTAAGTTGAAATAGCTCTCTACTGCTATTGAAAAAATACTCAGGTGTCTGAATAGCGTCTTTATCCGCATTTCGACCAGTTTAAGGTCACAGCTTTAAACAGTTCCTTAACTAGCGACTTGTTTTACACAAATTAGAGCTTATTAGGGCGAAGATTTTAAAGCTTCCATAACCTTTACAAAATAATTCATTCCAAGATATTTTCTGGTGGCAAATAAAGGCTAAATAGATGTGACCAATAACCTTTATCATCTGAGGTACTTTAAATCAAAAAGAAACAGATCTGAGTTAGCTTACCACTCTGCAAAAGGCTTTATGAATAATTCAGACTATATAATTGCTGACGCACATTAAAACTGAAAAGCTGCCTATAAAAGGAGTTGTAAATCGGTTTCCAGTTAATTATATGAAGACCAGTGGAGGGAAATCAAGCTTCTGGTCACTGATCAAATTCAAGACACTACGATAGCTAATCCACTTAGTAATCTACCATAAGATATAAATTCATTCCTTTTTTAGGGTTTTTCAACTAAGTGAAAAATTTTAATTAAACGTCAAAGAATCCGTGATGCTTGTCCTACTTCTTTTATACTGAAATTACACGTTTCTTAGACAAACGTCTGTTTGTGGTATTTTCATGCCATTCATCACCTTAATTAAACCAAATGACAACAGAAACAAAAGAGTTTAAAATAAATTCTCTAGTCAGTAAAATCTTCAGTTACCAGTAACATTAAGTAAGACCAAAATTGCTGATAATTCTTCAATACCGAATCGCAAACAACACAGAATATCATCATCCGTTAACGAAACTACACCAATAAAAACAAACCATAAGTGATTTACAAACAAAAGTTTCGTCACACGAAAAAAATAGCAAGATCAAAATTCATACATCAGACTTACCCTCCTTTTCTGTAGACAAATTTGTGGGCTTGTCAAATAATGCCATTGACGCATGTGTCCAGAACAAAACGTTGAGGTAACCACCGGTATCTCCCCAAGCTAATAAAGCATCATTCGGGTTTTCAGGTTTATGCCTTAAATTAAGCAGTAAATATATTTCACTTACCAGTGATCTAGGCAGAGAGGTGTGTGAGTGATGCCGCAAAGTTTTATAGGACAAAATAAGTCCATTTTTACACTTAAGTTACAGAATGCTTAAAAACAGATACCTCTCCAAGAAATAAGTACCAACCTATCTCCTTGCTTGTGAAGGCTATAGCAACTTTATTAATATTTGGCATCACAACAGAATCTGTTACGAAGGTGTCTCTTGGCCTACATGATTCGGTGGAAACTTTGGCTGTACCATGTGGTTTCAGATCTATTCCCCAAAGAGCAGCAAGTCCTTCCTTTTGAAAAATCATGGTTAGATTTACAAACTTGAAATTCACTCACCCTGCTGATGGACAGATATCGCGACATGTTTCTTAAAAATACGATTTTCTGTATATTGTCTTTGTGTGGGCTTAAAAGTTATAAAAAAAGGAATTTAAAACCTTTTGATTGACTTCATATCTCTCCATTGAGGTATGCTTAGAGTCTTCTGTCTGTCATCTCTTTCATAAAATTCAAGTAATAAATGAGATGCAAATTTGTCCCAGTCAACAAAACCATCTGAGGTTATATCAATTTTGTCAAACAAATCCTTGTACTTAATGGAAATAAAAGAGAGTATTTTGGTCTACCTCTTGACGTGAGCCACGACTTAGCAGCAAACTCATAGCTTCAACGAATTGCTCTTTTGTCAGTCTTAATTTATTGTCATAACCGTTTCCTTTCAACTTCATGTGTAGATAGATAGCATATAATAACTTACAGAAAACGCCTCGTAAATAGCTTGTAGGTCACGAACATTAAGCTTTGACTCAATCTTCTGATCAGTAGCACTGAAAAATTATACATCTTTTACTATATACATACCTTGTTGTGTGAGATTCTTTGGATCCTTTAGTGATCACACTTGCCATGTTCTCATGCAAATTTAAATTCGTGCAGTTTACAAGTTGGCATGTTTACACTGATCAGAAAAAAATTCAACATTGAAGTGGTCCAATGCCTTCTAACAAGCCACTATAAGTTATTTTATTTCTTAGCGCTCACCAACTTTTGATACAAGTAATTATAAAACCTAATTGCTAGCTTATCTTTTAATACTTATATAATATCGAATAAGAGATGGTTAACAAAATAAATTGCAAACAACTATTCTGTGATCCCAATGGAAACCACTGTGTAGCTTACATTATCTCTGTGATGATCTCGTAGAAATTTTTTAATTATTGGAATTCTTCCTTTAACCGATATGAGATATTTGCCTTTGTAACAATTACAATGCGCAGCGTGAATGGATTTCAGTTAATTCGTAGTCACTATGCAGTCTGTCCGAGGATATTGTCGATGATGGGGGTGTTACAGTTTTTAACCAGCCGCCGACTCATCTCAGTTGAAAACCTATAAGAAAAAAGTATAAAGTAAGGGAACATCAGTTAATGCGCGGAAATGAGATGTATAAAAAAAAACAATAGAACAAAGCATAAGATTTGCAATAGATCGTAGAACCAAAACGCAGAGAAAACTAACTAAAGGAAAACGGTTGTGGGTATTATGGAGACCACTGCACAGCTAACATAATTCGTCGGAGTGAGGCTGCCCCTTCAATGAATGCATGCAGACAATTTGACATTGAGGAACCACCTGTTTTTCCTTTAAATTTTCCAGTAAATGGGCGACTTCCGCGTACAGTATAAATGCCCAGCAATGGTCCTTAAAGGAAATGCTGAAGGCAGTACAATAGCATGCTAATTGGTGAAGACACACGAGATTCTATTAGCGTTCACAGGGCTTCACCATCGAAATGAACATTGAGAAATAGGAAAGAACACATAAATCCCTTCACGAGCTTAACAGTTTTGCTTATTTTACAAGGGCTAACCTCCTGGCTCGTTACGTACTCCAGCTATCAAGGTAAATTTGCGATATTGAAGTGAAATAGGTTACGTAACGTATTAAACTCATGTTGGTAACTTTCGATTACAATAAGTTGCATGTTTGTTTTGAATACTTCAAAAGAATACTTCCATACATAAGCCGTTTTACATTCTACAATCAGAAAAGTTGATGGTAACCCACGCCCAAGTTCAGGATCTTCCTTCCCTGGTGAAAAAGTCTGTCTGGGTTCATGGCTTTGATGCCATTTATGATTGTAAATGCAGAATAAAGGTAGAATTACTTGTGAAAAGCATTGGACACTGCCAACAACATACTATGATAAATAACTTGGGTGTCTTGAAAATAAACCAAAATTTAAAGTGAAATATAACACTTCCTTCTTCCACCTGAGAATGTTACTTGTTCATCCTAAGCTTCACGGGTGTTAACAGTCTCACCTACCTGTTGATCTATGCGCGCTATATATTCTCATTTGTTGGTGCATAAGTGACTGCAGTTTACAGGTATCATCAACATGGTATATATTATGTATATGGTGTAAGCATATTTACAGCTATTGAATTACACAAGGTAAATATACGACAATGTAATAGATTAATATCTGTACGGTCACTTTACATACGTAGAGGCATTGTACACAATACAGTACTAAGCGTCGTCATTGTTAAAATCTGTCCAAAATGAGCGTAATAATTGAGGGCTATGTTACAAGTAATATAAATATATATATATAAATATATATATAAATAAGGTAATATGCCACAACTGTCATTCGGGATGCCTCGCAGAAGAAAGTATCGGGTGTTATTTGGGGCGGTGAAGTTTACTGTTATTCATACATTTAATGAACTCAGTACATCTCTGTGAGGTGAAAATAACCTAAAGTAGTCAGAATGAAGAGAGCATTGCCATCTTCAAGAGTTTAGTGATTGAGGAGGGGAATGCTGGAAGTGTGTTCGCGTCTCACACATTAGCTAGTAGTCTATTCCGAATGACTGAAAGCTTATTCAAGGAATCGCCTGCATGTAAGTCTGACGGTGTACCATAGCAACTACGTCGCCATGATTTCTAACACTGCTACTAACCTGAGGGGTAGATGTTGTTACTGGCCTGGAGGAGTGCCAGAAGGGATCAGTTAAACTGTAGCTGAAAATGAAACTTATCCTTAGCCGGCTTTTCCGGAGTATTTCTATTTTCAGTCTGCTGCGATGCTAACTGTAGTCAAGACCTCCTTTAAAGCCAAGAGCTCTTGAAGCAAGATGTCGTTGCACTTCCGCTAATTTAAGCTGTCAGAGTCCGCCAAGAATAAGCAGGCACTATTCTTAGATAGGTCGTGTGCATGCTTTTTATAATAAAACCTTTGTTTCACAGCGAAAGAAAATGTGATTAATGCAACCTATGGGCTCACGTGTTTTACGCCTTTTATGGAGAACGTTAAATTGCTAGAGAATTTCAAGATCTGCGACTGAGTCAAGTTTGGTTAGTTTTTGCCCGTTTATTTCAAGTATCAGATCAAGATTACTGTCGCCGATGCAAATCCAACCTCATCTACCAGTGTTAAACTTCAAGCAGGTTACAGCATGATTATTTTTACCCTGTGAAGGCCAGTCTTCTAGAAGAGCATTTTGAACATTATGTAATGTTTTCCGATTGTCGCGGAGAAAATAAATTGGATTCTGACTTTTCACAGAAGTGTCTCGTGGCCTTTTTAACCTTCCACTAATTAAAACGTCCAGCTAGCGAAGGCAGCTGTTCATAAAAGCCCGAAGCTTGTTCAAAGTACTTTTCGTGACAAATCAAGTCTTTGAAAAGTAAAGAAGAGCTGACTCACCTGACAGGTGACAAGTGCATTTCCTGTGTAGATGTGATGTTCGTCAAATGGTCATTTAACAATTGCTGAATGGTGCTGTCAGGCTACAATTATAACTCGAAATTCCGAAAACTATTTTTATTGGCAAAGGTTAGCAATTTACTTGGTTTCCCTATCAGGGTACCCATTTTCCACTTTTCTGAGGGGACATTAACGAGGTTTTTTGAAAAAAAGTAGTACATCAGTTTATGAACTTCATGGATTCTACAGGTTGAGTTATATCCGCTTATTACTGAAACTAAACTATCAGGGAACATATATATTTATTTATTTTATTTTTTATTTTGGTTTACAGCTTGATTCCACACCGTATTTTTAGTACAAGTATGGAACTTTCAGCATGGATATCGGTAGCCCAAACTCAGGCCGACCATAGATATCGGTTGTGCGCCGGCAGGGGATCGAACCCCGGACCATGTGCATGGTCGGCGAGAGTCCTAACCACTGTGCCACCGACGCACAAGGAGGACGTAATACAAAGCTCATTTCTACAAGTGGTATCCTAACTTTAGTTTGATTTCATCTCACACATAGTAATAGCAGTGTCTCTCATTGACTTCAGGGACCTACCGGGGACAGTCTCGTCTACCAAGAGTATGCTGATGATATTGTTTACCAAGGTTGTGAGGGGTGGCCAATTAATCTGGGAGATATGAAGAGACCACCGGCGTTTGACTGCACTTCTGTGCTCAGTCAGCATTAATCACTGCAGCTGCCTAGAGTCACAAATCACTACAGTGTTAATTGGCTTAAACAAATGATAATGCCGTTTTCTAAGCTCTGTACGCATTCCTTAAACTGTCCGGATAAAGTGCACCGAAGAAGAAACTGTGAACCAGGACTAAGTAACATGGACATAAGAAATAGTACGAATCGAAGTGAATGAGATGAGTGGCATTTTTTATCCGTCTAGTACACTCATTTGAAATACTTATGCTTCACTAATGTCCTAATAATTTCATTTCTGTCTTCCTCATTGCAGGTTATCAGTCTTCATAGACATCCCACTAGATGTCATACATGGTGACTGCAAGTGGTCTTCCAATCCATCTACTTCCCACAAAGATGTTGTTACGAAGCCCTGTGGTTATTTACATTGGGGCGCATTACAATTAGTATGCTTATATCGCTGATGCAATGAAATGCAGGGCTTATATGTTCTGCTGCGAGGTGTGCCTGTAATAGCATTCCCTATATAGTAAATACAGTGCCTGTGATAACAATTTATCATTGTCTTTTCATTTCGTTGATAGCTGCGTGCATTCTAGAAAAAAGTCAACCTCGTATGGGTTTTCAAAATGCTTTCAGCAAGTGCCGGTACTTCTGCTTCCTACTGTGTGCTAAACGTGGTCTATGAGATACTTTTGATTGCATTCACAAATAACCACTAGGCTATTATCACATGGTGTGGTGAAATAAAATGCGTATGAAATTTAGATGTTAAGGCGTAACTCCAGTTACTGGTACGATACATGTGTACATGTTCCATTTCCAAACAAGAAAACCCTTAAAATAATTTACTGCTGAGAGGAGTGAGTCAACTTGTAGACAATCTACTATTTGACATTGCATCACACTTGATCGTGCCTGTAAAAATAGCATGCATTTTCATGTAAATTTATGTTTATGTGAAAATATACATTATTATTATTAATAGTGTGTTCATTACTGTATAAATCTCCTATAAGTGAAATACTTCTACTCAGTTATTGGTGAAGCTGCAATTTCTCCCTGTAGGCTATCCTCACTGAATCTCCACGAGTACAATGCTTGCTATTGACGAATCCTGCCAAAAGCATCCGCGTAACAGCAAAAACTACCTTTTTTACTAAAAGTGGCAGTAGAGGTATTATTATAGGTGTGACCTACCTGTAAACTGAAGAATTCTAAAGTAGCACACCACCATATCCTGAAAGTGTATAATTTGTGTTGTAAAATTTCTGCAGGTACAAGTAGAATTTATGAGCTGAGCATTCGTTAAATATGAAAGTGTCTCATGGAGTCGTTTAAACGAAGGCCTGGCGAAATGCGATACCTTACACAGACGCACCTAAGGAGAGGTAGGCATGCGTTACTTCATGTGAACTCTGGGCCATAGAAAGAAAGCATTTCTTTCAATCGACCGTCCGTTATACGTAATTGAATAAT